CAATAACCTGTGGCTTCTGGGAGCAGCTTTATCCACCCACACATTGTACCTCCATTCAAGCTTCATTTTTAATAGAATGTTTGATTGGCTTACAGGTAACAGATTTCCTTATGGCTTTTTCATGCATCATTAGTTTGGACTGACACCACACACACACACACACACACACACACACACACACACACACACATACACACACCCCTACTTTTCCTTCCCCCATCTCCCTGCCTCTCATCCCCATGTAAACCTTTTCTGTTTCCCCCATCCACTATCATGCCACACATGTTCTATCACTTCCCCTTACCTTAGAGAATCTTTTCCCGCCTCTCTGATTGGCCCCTTTCTAGTTTCCTGAGCTATACACACATTGTTTCCCACATAAACGCACATATATAAAAATCAGAAGCTGGGCTGTGCATGTGGGAGAGAATGTTCGGCGTTTGTCTTTCCAAACCTAGGCTACCATACTCAGCCTAATGTTTCCAGTTCCGTCTATTTTCCTGCACATTTCATAATTTCATTTTACAGCTGAATAAAATTCCATGTGTACATGGACCACATTTTCATTATCTGTTCATCGGTTGATGGACATCTAGGCTGAATCCATTTCCTAGCTATTGTGAATAGAACAGTGGGGAACGTGGATGAGCAAATGTCTCTGTGGTAGGATGGAGAGTCTTCTGGGTACACACCAAGGAGTACTGGAGCTGGGTCCTACGGAAATTCTATTTTTAGCTTTTAAAGAACCCCCAGACAGATGTCCATAGTGGCTGTACCATTTACATTCGCATTGACGGTGAGCAACAGTCCACCTTTCCACATATCCTGGACAGCGTTTGTTGTCATTTATTTTATCCATAATAGCCGTTCTGACTGGGGGTGCGATGGAATTTCAGAGTAGTTTTCATTTACATTTCCCTGATGGCTAAGGACGTTGAGCACATTTTAAAATATTTATCGGCCGTTCATCTTTCTCCTTTTGAGAACTCTCTGTTACGTTCCTTGGCCGATTTTTGCCTCTGAGTTTTTTGTTTGTTGTTTGTTTGTGTCTTCAGTCTTTTTTTTTAGTTGTTTGTATATTTCAGATATTAATCAGCTGTCAGATGTATCCATGGCAGAGATTTTTCTCCCATTCTATAGGCTGTCTCCTCTCATAACTGGGTTATTGTGGGGTACTTTGTTTTGTTTGCGTTACAGACGCGTTTTAATTTCATGAGGTTGCCTTTGTCCATCAGTATTTGACCTTACATTCCGAGTGACTGGAGTCGGGGGAAGAAACTCCTTAGCTGTGCCTAGGTCTTCATTTTCTATCCGCTTTGGAGTTTCAGATCTCACATTAAGGTCTTCAATCTCAGTTGACTTTGTGCAGGGTTGGAGAAAGGAGCCGGCTGCATTCCTGTACTGTGAATGTCCAGTTTCCCTAGCTCCACTTGTTAAGGAGGCTGTCTTTTCTTCTGTGTGTGTGTGTGTGTGTGTGTGTGTGTGTGTGTGTGTGTGTGTGTGTGTGTGTTGTTCTTGTTGGTGTTTTTGTTGGTTTGGTTTGGTTTGATTTTTACAACTTTGTAGTGAATCAGTTAGCTGTAGCTGCATGGCTGGTATCTCAGTTCTCACTCCTCTGTCATTGATCTGAGTCTGGTTTTGTGCCTGTACGTTGCCGTTTTTATCACTGTCACTCCGTAGTATAACTTGAAATCAGGTACAGTGATAACTACCACACTATTCTTTCTGTTCAGGATTGCTACACCTGTCTGGAGTCCTTTATGCTTCCATATGAGTTTCAGTGGGTTGTTGTTGTTGTTGTTGTTTTCTGTTTCTATAAAGAATGATGTTGGTATTTTAATGGGCATTGCATTGAATCTGTAGATCCCTTTTGGTAGGCCAGCTGCTTCAACAGGATTAAGTCTTCCGATCCATGGGCATGAGAGAGTCTTTTTGTCTTTTAGTGTCTTCATCTGTTTCCTTCTTCCTTGTTTTAACATTTTCATTGTTTATGTCTTTCGCTTCACTTGTTAGATTTTTTTTCTGTATATTTGAGTGTGTTGTGAATAGGATTGTTTCTCTCATTTCTTTCAGATCTTAATTATTTGTTTGCACCATTAGTATATAGGAAGGCTGCTGATTTTTGTGTTTAATTTTGTAGCCTGCCACATGATTGAAAGTGTTTATCAGCTCTCAGAATTTTCTGGTGGAGTCTTTTTTTTTCATGTATTTTATGTATATGAGTGCTCTACTTGCATGGATGTCTGCATGACAGAAGAGGGTATCAGATCTCATTACAGATGGTTGTGAGCCACCATGTGCTGGGAATTGAACTCAGGACCTCTGAAAGAGCAGTCAGTGCTGTTAACTGCTGAGCCATCTCTCCAGCCCCCCTGGTGGAGTCTTTAGAGTCTCTTATGTATTAAATCATAGAATGTGCAAATAAAGAAATCTGACTTCATCCCTTTCTGTTTGTATCCTTTTTACTCCCTTCTCTTCCTGCTCTGGGTAGGTTTTCCAGCACTATATTGACTAGATGGCAGTGGACACCTTTGTGTTGTTCCTGACTTTAATGGAACTGCTTTTTCTCCATTTAGCATGCTGTTGGCTTTACTTCATGGTAGATACTCTTAGTTGTGTATGTTTCCTCCATTCGTAGCCTCCTGGGGGCTTTATCATGAAAAGGTATTCGGTTATGACAAAGGCCTTTATCTGTATCTGTTGGCTTGATCCTGTGATTTCAGTGTCCTTGAGTCCATTTTGTGATGTATTACATTGATTGATTTGCATATGTTGAATGGTCGCTGCTTCTCAGGAATGAAGCCAACTTGCTTATGGTGAGTGATCCTTTTGGCGTATTTTTGAATTCAGGTCACAAATCTTTCATTGAGGTTTTTTTTGGCATCTAAGTTCATCAGGGAGATTGGTCTATGATTTTCTTTTTTGTTGTGGCATTCTTTGGTTTGGGTGTCAGGATAATGCTGGTTTCGTGTGTGAATGTGCATGCGCACACACGTGGAGGAGAGAGGACAATGTGTAGGGCATGGTTCTTTCCCTCCACCTAAAGGGTGTCCAAAATCCAACTCGGGTTACTAGGCTTGGAAGAAAACACTTTTCCCCATTGAGCCATCTCACCAGCCCAGGTTTGACCTGTTCTTGTCTTGCTAGGCCCTGAAGAACATCATTTAATTATTTAAATGAGATCATTCTGGTTTTTTTTGTTTTTTTTGTTTTTTTTTTGGTTTTTCGAGACAGGGTTTCTCTGTGTAGCTTTGCGCCTTTTCCTGGAACTCACTTGGTAGCCCAGGCTGGCCTCGAACTCACAGAGATCCGCCTGGCTCTGCCTCCTGAGTGCTGGGATTAAAGGCGTGCGCCACCACCGCCCGGCTTCATTCTGGTTTTTAATGTAGGTACTTAAAACTGTGAACCTCCCTCTTAGGACCGCTTCCATTGTATTGTATAGGTTTATGTATGATCCCTCTGTATTTATTCAATTCTAAGATTTTTTTCCTTCTTGGTTTCTTCAATGACCCATCCGTTCATCATTCTACAGTGTGTTGTTTAATATCCATGAGTTTGCAAATTTTCTCTGGTTTCTATTTCTTGTTGTCTAACTTTATTCCACTGTGGTCTGACAGAATAAAAGAAGTTATTTCAGTTGTCCAGTATTTGCTGAGACTTGCTCTATGTCCTAGTATGTGATCAGTTTTAGGGGAAATTCCTTGGATTACTGAAAAGGAATATGTATTCTACAGCGTTTGGGTGGCACAGTTTGTAAATGTCTGTTCTGTCCTTTTGATCTGTGGTGTCATTTAATTCTGTTGTTTCTTTGTTTACTGTTTTTGTCCAGATGGACTGTCTGTTGGTGGGAGTGGGGCACTAAAGTCATCCACAGTTACTATGTTGGGATTAGTCTATGACTTTATATCTAGAAGAAAGATTACCTGCATTTAAAAAAAAATCAACCAGTGATCTAACTCCTGATGTACAAATCCCAACACACAAAAAGTGACATGAAAAACCAAGACAACCCACCTCTTCCAAAAACTGCCAGCCCACCAAGCATCTCTTTAACATGGTGTTTCCCTTCTCTTCCGTGGGCTGCCAGTGCCCAGCACCGAGCACCAAGAGGAAGGTTTCCCACAGCGCCCCCTGCCGATGCTTCTGCCCTGGGTGTGGCTTTTCCCCCAGCTGTTCAGAGCCTGTTTTGTGATTGCTACTCTTCAGCTCTCCCCAGTTAATTCCCTGGAGGCTCTAGGAGACTGTCCCCGAGTATCACCTCACATTCCTTGTCTCCCTCAATTCAAATTTGAGTTCTTAAGACAAATGATGGCTCAGTTCCCCAACTACCCTCCCAGGAGTTAAGTAAAAGCCATGTGGAATTGTCAGGGAGACCCGGGTTCAAATTCTAGATCAGTGGTTCTCAACCTTCCTCACACTTCAGCCCTTCAATATAGTTCCTTGGGTTGCTGTGATCCCCACAACCATAGTTACTTTCGTTGCTACTTCGGAACTGTGATTTTGCTACTGTTATGAATCATGATGTGAATGTCTGATGTTCAGGATACATGACCCCAAAGGAGTCACGACTCACAGGTTGAGAACCACTAACCCACAGGTTAGAATCTAGATCAACTATTTGTTTCTGGGTAACCTCGAGGAAGTGGCTGCTCACCTGTGCGTGACTGTTACTCAGACACTGTGACAAGTCAGCATCATGTGACTGCTTCATTTATTAATATTAAACAGATTTGCACTGAGTACCTTGTGTGGATCGGCAGTGTAAAGAGCCCTGCTAAGATACAGTGGAGGGCAATTTTAGCAAGAACTCTGCCATCGTGAAACTTACCAGTCTAGTGGAGAAGAATATCACCGACTGCGTGATCTCACAGTTATGCGATGATGACAGATGTTGGAGGGGTGGGGGTATGAAGAGGTAACTCATGGGGGCGCTTCTCAGAGGATGGGACTAGTGTGCAGTCTCCTTCCCAGTGTTATATCACTCTGCACCTCTCTTTCAGGTACCTAGAAGGAAACCACTTAACAGCGGTGCCCAAGGAGTTGTCCTCCCTCCGACAGCTGACGCTTATGTAAGGAGCCTGCCACTAGGCAGGCATTTGTTTCTGAGATGGCGTGGGACATGGCTGTGGGGAGTAAGAGAGAACAGTGGTTGCTATGACAGATGCAGCAGTTCTCAACCTGCATGGCTGCATGGCGCAGGGAGAAACAGCTGGGAGGAAACGGACCAGGCTGATGTTTGAGGATTTGCGAGTCCCATATGTGGGGATAGTCAAAGCGTATCATTATGGGCCCTGAACTACCTTCCCATTGGCTTGCCTCTGACCTTCCAGGCCCCAAGCTGAATGCCTGAGCTTTCTGGAATTCCAGTGTCTTACAAACTGTGACCGCACTTAGATCTGCCAGGATCAGAAGCAGGCATCCCGTCTTCCTTCTCTGGTTTCCCAGAAGATGTCCCAAGTAGATGGTTTAAACCAAGGGCCTTCAATAATGCCTGCTACAAGCTTCAGGCCTCTAAGAGCCTGAAAACACTTGAATGGGAACCGGAGAACCTGGGCGTGGGAGAGACCCATGCGCTATTTCCCTCAATAATGTCACTGCTTTGCCTTGGTGGGACCTAGAGGGGTAAAGTTATTCCTTGGGCTAGTGGTAATTGATGGATGCCCTTGTCTGCTTGAGAGGGGTAGGAGCCAGTCCACAAGAGACAAGCAGGGTTCTTTCACAGGGAATGTCAGGGGCCCACTAATGAAAAGTTCCAGAAAGCCTCCATTTGGTCCCCAATATCTGTATGAACATTTCTCAAACTCAGAGCTATGGACATCTGAGGCGGGATCATTATTGGTTAGGAGAGTTGTCAGGATTATCATGAGGAATGAGGCAATGACCTTGGCCTCTATTAGAAGCCAGTAGCGCCTTTAATCCCAGCACTCGGGAGGCAGAGGCAGGCGGATCTCTGTGAGTTCGAGGTCAGCCTGGTCTACAAAGCGAGTTCCAGGAAAGGCGCAAAGCTACACAGAGAAACCCTGTCTCGAAAAACCAAAAAAAAAAAAAAAAAAAAAAAAAAAGAAGCCAGTAGCACTTCTCAATAGAGTCAGCCAGAACAGTGTCTGGGACATGTCATGGTGGAACAAAAGTGCCCCCAGTTGAGAACCACTGTTCTGTAGCAGTGGTCATGGACTTCTGCTGTGGGGGACTGCCCAGGGAGCAGCTGTCCATGCTGCCATTTCATACTGTTGCCACGCCCACGGACAAGCATTTTCACCAGAGTATACAGGCAGGGAGCCCTGGCTTCAGAAGATTCAGAAGTTCTAAGGAAAAGCCAGGAGGCTGTAGTGGATAGAGACCTCTTCTCTCACCAGCATTGTTCCTCCCAAGAGATGGATCACATGGGGTGAATAAATGACAGAAAGAGGGCTGGTGATAAGAGATGACCAGGGGGCCAGTTGTGCTGGTGCACGCCAGTGGGATTTCTGAAGGAGATGGAAGCAGGAAGATCATGAGTTCGAGGCCAGCCTGGGCTACACATTTTTTTAGCCAGGCAATGGTGGTTGTTGCCTTTAATCCCAGACCTCAGGGGGCAGAGACAGGTGAATCTCTGAGTTCTAGGCCAGCCTCGTCTACAGATTCCAGGACAGCCAGGGCTACACAAAGAATTCCTGTCTCAATTAAAAAAAAAAAAGGAAGGAAGGAAGGAAAAGAAAAGAAGAATTGATCAGGGGAAGAAATTGTTTTCTTGTGTGTTAGATTTTGTTAGAATGAAATGGATGAATAGGCATGTAATTGAATGATTTAATCATGAATGAGTTTATAAATGGATGATGGGTGGGCAAGGACAATGTGAATGGGAAAATTAACATTTGGATCAATGGGTAGGTGGTAGGGGGATAGCTGGAAAATGAGAAAGTGAGTGGATAAATATGAGAATGGGTAGACATACAGATGGACAAATGGAGATGAGTGAGTGTGCAGCTAGATGGATAATCACATGTGTGAGGGAATAATAGGTGAGTGGGTGAATGGACAGATGAATGAGTGCATGGATTGGTGGATGAATGGGTGCATGCGTGGTAGTGAATGGACTGATTGATAGGTGGTATACTCATGTAATAGTAGGTTGTGGGCTCCCTCAGGTACGGCTAACAGTAACTCATGGCTTTTCTGTTTTCCTTATCTAGTGACCTGAGCAACAACAGCATCGGCATGCTGACCAATTACACCTTCAGCAACATGTCCCACCTCTCCACGCTGTGAGTACGGTGGCATCTCGTGTTTAATGTTCATGGGCATGGCCACCCAGTCTTGTAGCCCCTCAGTCCCTGGGTGCCTTGCTTTCTTGGTCCTTGGGGCCTTGGCTGCCCTAGTGAAAGGCAGACTTTAGTCATCAGATGATGCAAAAAGGAGAGGTAGGGGCCTGGCAGATGGAGGGACTGTAAGCTAATTACCTCTGAAGAAGGCTGTCTTTGGAATGCCTTCTGGGATACATGCATGTTCTTTCCCAGTGGAGGGTTTCCTACACAATTATATTTTGCTCAGACCCATTTATTTCCCATTAGCTCTGCACGTTGTAAGCACACACCATTTGACAGTGGAGGGGGCTAGTAGGAAAGCTGATTAGAGAGCCAATCTGCTGTGGAACATTGGGGTGGGGGGCCCAGCTTAGGAGCTTCCTGGAGTGGTAGGAGGTTTCTCTTCCCTCTGTATTACGGTCCCTTTGTCGATAATATTAAACCAGGAAAATTGGAGGAAACATTTGCTTTGACGGATCCACAGTGTAAACAGTGTACCCACGAGAACAGGAGCAGTCAGCGGGCTCACATTTCTCTTTCCACAGGATCCTGAGCTACAACCGGCTGAGATGCATCCCTGTCCATGCCTTCAATGGGCTACGGTCACTCCGAGTGCTGTGAGTCACGGGGCCTTGGGTCACCTTACATGGCACTGGATAATAGCATGAGCTCTCTCCTTCCCTACCGTCCTTGGGCAAAGCCCATTCACTGCCACCCAGCCACCCTTATTTACTCCGTGGGGTAAAGAGAATGTCCTCTATGAATCAGCCATTCCCGAGGCTCAGCACACTGCCACTCATAAACCTTTAGCTAATCACTCACCCCCTCCAGTCTGCACTTGGCTGTGTATCCAGTAGGTCATCCCACCCTGTGATTAGGGAATTAGGCTACGCTAATGTGTCCTCCCTCTCACAAGCACAGAGTGGGGCATGGGGCCACACTGTGATGAGCAGGCTGCTCCCAGGTGCTCACTATGGCTTCAGAAGGGTGGTGTGGCATCTTCTGCAAGGACCAGAGATGACAAGCTGGAAGGCCAGGCGCCATCCAAGCTCAGAAGGTTGGCTTACAAGTATCTTTTACAAAAAAACAAAAGTTTCAGGTCTGGGTGCGAGGACACACAGGTGTAATCCCAGTCCTTAGGAGGCTGAGGCAGGAAGAACATGAGTCCAAACCTAGCCTAGACTATTTAGTGACTTTGAGTCTAGCCTGGACTACTTAACAAGATCCTGTCTCCAAAAAAAAGTCAAAGTTTTAACAAGTTGCCAGCATTTAAGTATAACCAGCAAATCCTGATGTCTGCCTTCTCTTGGGAAATTAAGAGTCCTGGCCGTACCTGAGTTCCTCCCCTGCATTTCTGCAGACAGGTTTGCACAGACTGCAGCCCCCTCACTCGTACACCTCATGCCTGCCTGGTCCTGTCCTACCCCAGAGTTGAGGACAGAGGCTCCAGAACCCTTCCGGTTCCCAGGCGTGGCTCTCTGCCCCTCCCTCCCTGTGTATCTGTCTTCTGGCCCATGGAAATCGGATGATGATGGAAATTGCCTCTCCGAATCTCAGAATTACGTGAGATGCGGCATCGAGAGTGCACACCACACTCTGGCTACTGTGACTGTGGAACAAGGATTCACCTGTTGTTCTGGTCTCAGTGGGAGCTGCTGGAGCAGGGGGACCCTGTGCTGCCCCAACTCCAGGTCCAACTTGTATACCTTTCTACCTTGCACTATCTTATTGATAAAGGAAGATGTTGTGGCTTTTTCCGCTATCACCTTTAAGGGATCTCCTCATCATGGTAGAGATGTCATCCTCCTCTTAAACTTCTCACCTATATTTTTCTAGTTCGTCATTATTGTAAGAGTAACCCCCATATTTGAAAAGGTCAGGCCGGGCCATTCCTTCTCCTGATCCTTTACAATAGTGCTGTGAGCTTGAGAGGATGATACCCATTTTAGAGATGGGGAAACTGAGGCCTGGCTGATGAAGTGACTGGCCTAGCGTGCTGAGTCCCGCCTCCTGCCTCAGTGTCATCAACAAACAGCACCCCGCAACCTGGTCCATTCCAGAGGCTCTGGACTGGTGTGATTTATTAAGACCTGCAAAACACCCATGTCAGCGACACTCCCGCCACATGTCATCTGCACTGTTATTAAAAATCAATTCTCTGGGGGCAGAGAAGTGCCCATAGTGACAGTGTGCAATCTGTTATTGTCACTTACTTATTACCCACTCTCTCCAGGGAGTTCGGGAATGGAAACATCAGCGAAACCATTTCCTTATTTCCAGCTGAATGCAGTAGTGGATAGATCTCATTCACCCGGCCCAAAGCCAGACTAGCTGCCCCTTCCACTACGTGCTGGCCCCTGTCCATCCCAGCCCCCAGCCTGCCCTCCAGTCAGTCTAATGCTGGGTGGGTTGGATGGCAGGAGACAGACCTGCCAGTTTTCAGTGAATCTCCGTGTATGGGTTCAAGACTTGGAGTCGTTCTGATGGAGATAAATCAAAGATTCTGAGAGAGGGAGAAACAGGTTTTCCCCTTCCGTCTGTCTGTTAACTGGGGTGACGGTGTGAGCATCACGGCATGCCAGGGGTTTCCCGTTCCACAGCGCCTTGTGTGTCCCGCCCCTCCCCCACTGCCATCATGAGGTCCCAGGAACACATGCCTCCATTCAGCACCAGGGAGCTTGCTTCTTGAGTTAACAGTCAGCAGGCTTTCCCATGGTCATCCTAGAAACAATGGGTCTTGGGGATAAACCCGATCTCAGAGCCTCTCACTCCAATCAAGTGCCTCAGTGGGGAGCAGGCCATTTTCTGCATAAGGGCCAATTCAGGGAAAATAACAGCGTTTATGGGCTACGTTTTTATGATATTTGTATCCTTTCTTCTGGTAATTGCACATGTAGGATTTTACACTATAGAAAAACCCCAAATGAGGGAAAGGCTCTATAAATCTGAGTCTTTGTTGTGTTGTTATTTTTAACCTAAATTTTAAATATTACCGACCAGGACCACAATGGGGAAATGTATAAAGAGATTATGGCACAACTAGTCAATGAAACACAGTTATTAAAGAGATAGAGATGAAAACTAGACACAGCGTGGGAACGGGCTGACTCTTTAGCTATTGCGTGGGAAAGGGAACTTAGTTACATCTCATAAACATTGACACCAGTGAGCAGAGACTAAAGGGAACAAGAGAAAGAATGGCTGGTGGCTGGCTTCTCATACTGATTGAGCAGGAATGGAGACTGCTACATGGTGGCAACTTAGGGAGCTGGGCAAAGAGGAGGCCGGTTTTGTTTGTTTTTTTAGTATGTGTTGTGTTGAATTCATGTGTGTGAGTGTAGGTACACATGTGGAGGTCAGAGGACATCTCGGGTGTTGGCCCTCAACCCGAGACAGAAGCAGGCATCCCTTCTTCTTTCTCTGGTTTCCCAGAAGATGTCCCAAGGAGATGGTTTAAGCCAAGGGCCTTCAATAATTGCAAATTATCTGTAACGATGTGCATACATACGTGCGAGCACATGTGTGTTTGTGTGTGTGTATCTGTTTGTCTATGTCTGTCTCTGTGTGTGTCTGTAGGTAGTGTGTCTATGTATCTGGATCTACTTAACGGTCTGTTTCTCTTTGTGTGTGTGTGTATATATGCGTGTGTCTGTCGTGTGTGTGTGTGTGTGTGTGTGTGTGTGTGTGTGTGTGTGTGTGTCTGTGTATATCTGCTTAACTGTCTATCTCTGTGTTTGGCTGGCTGTCTCTCTGTCTGTGTGTGTGTGTGTGTGTGTGTGTGTGTGTGTGTGTGTGTGTATCTGCTTAACTGTCTATCTCTGTGTTTGGCTGGCTGTCTCTCTGTCTCTGTCTGTGTGTGTGTGTGTGTGTGTCTGTGTGTGTGTGTATCTGCTTGACTGTCCATCTCTATGTTTGGCTGGCTGTCTCTCTGTCTGTATGTGTGTGTTAAATGAGTGCAGCTGAGTACATTTCAGGGAACAAGACAGGAGAGTAGTCAGGAATCCAAGTACAAAACATTGTGTGAGGAAAAAACTAGTTTCTCCACTTCCCTTGTGATGTAAAACAGCTAGTGAGAACATTCTTGTGGGCATTCTTGTCCTTCTTTGGGGATCTGTGCACTCTGAGGGATCTTTGCCCCACACAGAGTCACATGCTTTGTGTATGTGTGGTCCTAAATGTCACTCCCCAGTCCCACATAGTGGCACCTGGAATCAGTTAGGACAGAGAGGGCTGCTCAAGTGTGTACAGAGGGAGAGACTGAGATATTCACCATCCTTCAGATTTGTAGCTTCTCATCCACGAAGTAACACTGCGCTGTTGATACCCATGAGGAGCTACGGACAGTGTGGAGCCCTCCTACACCGTCCCCATTAAGGACTCCAGATGCTCTTTGTTTGGTTACCTTCCCAAGAGGGACCTCTCTGCCTCACCAGAGAGCTGCCCCACCTCTGACAGCTTGGCAAATGCTGGGGGTGAGCTGCAAGGTAGTGTTGGCAGCCTCCAGGCCATGGGGCAGGCTCACTCCTTGAAAACAAAACCAAAAATTAACACGATGGGTCCGTCTAGGATTATGAGTCTCTGGTCAGAGGGTGCACGCCTTTTAATCTCAGTATACTGTATACATAATAATAAATAAATAAATCTTTTAAAAAGAAAAAGATTAGCAGGAACTTCACAGCAAAGAGGAGGTCTTAGAGATACTCCTGTCTACACTTGTCACTTTGGAGACAGAGACAGAAAAGTGGAGGGACTTGTTCTTGACCAGTCTCTTCCCTAATGCCCTCAGTGGACAAGCTGCAGTGCTGGCCTGGGAGGTGGGCACAGACAGTAAGGGAGACACCATTGCTGTCCTCTAAGAGGGGACATTGTCAGGCTGAGAAGCATGGGCAACCCAGGTGACACCTGAGAGAAGAGCTGCAAGCCACAGTGAAGGCATCACCGCATCAAGGTTCTCTGACAGAAGAACCCTTTCTGGAATGTCACCATTGGTGTGTGTTAAGCCTTCACTGTTCACTGCCCAAAGGATAAGGGCTTCTGTGACATTGTCATATTCTTCAGCCTTGGAGAAGCATGCCTCTATTATACCCATCTCACTTAGGAGTAAACTGAGGCTGAATAAGAGTAAGTGATTTGTCTAAGATAATGCAGTTGGGATTTGAACCCAAGACTGTTTTCTTTCCAAGTCAGTCCTTTTGTTTCTAAGGCTGAGATGAAGCCAATGAGGCTCACTTAAGTAGAGAAGGGAGTGAGGAACATTCTAGGGGATGACAATATGACTACCCTGTATAGACACCTTAAGATCAAGGGCAAATATGGAGGCTGGAGTGTTGACTCAGGGAATAAGAGCACTTGGTGCTCTTCCAGAGTACTAGAGTTCAGTTCCCAGTACCTACATTAAGTGATTCACAGTAGCCTGTAACTGTAGCTCCAGAGCCTCCAACCCCCTCTTCCGATCTCTATGAGCACTCACATGCACATACACACACAAAAGTAAAAGAATTGTTGTTGTTTTTGAAAGGACAAATGTGTGGAGAGGCTTACAGGAACTTACAGGTATGACTGCCAGGCAGATTTCATGTTAGAAGCAAAAGGGTATGGCTGAGTCGCCGTTAGTATATACAGAACCAAAGCTGAGCTCCTGTCTCTGGGCTCCTAACCAGAGGTCTTTCTACCTCGCTCCCAGCCTAGCTGATACCTGTCTTTAGTCTCATGCATTTCATACTCAAAGATTGAGCATTGTTGATTGGAAATCGACATGTTTTCATCCCTTACCCAGGAAACTTCTCATTGGAATTAAAGGGTTGTGATTTGGGGAGTGGGGGTGGAGTTGGCTGGGTAGGGAGGTGGGAGGATCTGGGATGAGTTGGAAGAAATAAAAAACCTGATCAAAATATATGATATGAAAATATTTTTTAGGTTATTAAAAAAAAAAGGTGAAGTAGGATAGAGGACTTGGGACCACACTGCCAATGTTCACTATATCTTGCCTCCAGTCCAGAAATGGAGTCATGGGACTCACTAGTGCCTTAAAATTTTTGGAAAATATAATTACAGACTTCTAATTTATATGAACAATGCCTTGAGAGGACTGGCCTTAAAATAAATCCAAGAACAAAGTGGAGCACACAGGAACAAAGTGACCATGCACTGGGTCCTAGAATATCTGAGGCCTTGAGGGCTTTGTACCTCTCCCTCAACCATCACAGCTGGCTGACTTATTAAATACATACTATTATAATAGGCCCTTCCTGACCAATGGAGAGTAGACCAACTCAACTACCTTGACGGGGGAGGATATATCCTTCAAACAACTGAAAAGTTCAGGGTAGACGGTGACTCTGGGACTAGGGAAAGGCATGCCAGAGATGAGTACAGCTGTCTCGCCCCTCAGCCCTCTTTCATGCATGGGTTTCCCTCATGGGTGGGGCACATTCATCTCCTCATTCTAACCTGTGGAGCGTCCTCACAGGCTGGGAGGTTTCTCTTGAGTGGCTTAGCAGCCTGCAAAATGAAACCTCCTTTGTAAGTCTGAGTTCCAGAGGGAGCCCCAGGGATGTCCCTCCTTGACCCTAAAGGGGAGCTCCTACCGTCCCTCTGAAGGTGTGAGTGCACCTGGGCTGGAATGAACGGATAACGGAGAGATGGTATTCAAAACTGTGGACATGTGTATGTAGGCAGGAGCTACACAAAACTCAAAGATTCGGGAGGCCGGATGGCTGAAGCTTATGCCTCTTCAATGGACAAGGATGGTAGAGTAGGCAGTAGAGTACTCAGCAGCCTCAGAGGGGTAATGAATGGTGTTTAGGAGAGTCAGTGAACCCAGGGGTCTGACAATGGCCTGGGCCAAAGTCCCCGTAGACTTCGGGTGTGATGTTGGGTCTTCAGTGTCATCCGAAAAGGGAGTGTAATCTTCATGAGGGGCAAAATGTCACTAAGAAGCTGAACGATGACTGTGGGTCTCTTTGATGGATTGGGGCCACAGTCTACATGGGAACTCCAGGGACAGTCCCTTCCTGTGCTTCAGGAGAGAAAGGGGAGCAAGAGCAACAGGGTCGGGATGAGAGCAGGTCAGAGGAACCATGAGGCTGTTCCTGCTGCCAGCATGACAAAGCACAATACATAAGACTGTGAGTCAGAGGCAGGCAGATCCGAGTTCGAGGCCAGTCTACAAAACAAGTCCCAGGATAACCAGGGATACAGAGAGAAACCCTGTCTTCAAAAACAAAAACAAAAAAAAGACTGTGAGTTTACTGAGGTTACGCAGTCAGCCTCACGCTAGTGTTTGTGACACTGATTGCTCAAACCGGGCAAGAACTCAGATAGGTCCCGCCATGTCTATGCAAACTGTGGTCACCTGGGCATTCAGAGGTCCCAAGGTTCAGACGGCCCAGGTATAAGGAGAGGCAGGTAGGTGTCACACTGCTCTAATGATTCCATCATCTGCATCTGACAGTTTGTCTTTAGCAAACTGAGAACAGTGGTTCTCAACCTTCCTAATGCTGCGACCCTTTGATACAGTCCCTCATATTGTGGTGACCTCCAGCCATAAAATGATTTCGTTGCTACTTCCTAACTGTAATTTTGCCACTGTGATGAATCATAGCTAAATACTTTTGGAGATAGAGGTGTGTCAAGGGGTCACGACCCATGGGTTGAGAACCTCTGGTCTAGAGCATGACCCAGAGGAAGTATGCCTACTCAGCGTGTACAAGGCCCTGGGTATTCTACAGGAGAAGGGAACTAAGCCCTTGCCATAAGCAGTAGGAGAAACCCCTAGCCCTTTCCCCGTGAATAGTGGTCCCAAAACAAACAGCATCAGTGCAACTGGGAGCCTTCAGAATCTCAGGACCCACCCCGAACCCAAAGATGTAGATCAGACTCGTAAATCTGAATTTTCACATCTTTATTAGCATATATTAATCACACATAATAATAGTTTTCATTATGACATTGCATGTGTATAACATGTTTTAATCATATTCATGCCCCATTTTCCTCTCTTATCTCCTTACCACTTTCATGGATCACCTTCTTCTTCCTCATCAACTAGTCCCCATTCTAATTTCATGATACTTTTATTGTTTGTTTGTGTGATACAGTGAGTTTCCTTGGAATTACTGACAGGGGCATAGCCCTAACCCTAAACCCTAAACCCCCTAATGAGGGTTGTTGGGTTTTTTTTTTAATACTTTAAATTTTTTATTTATTCATTTTATGTGTATTGGCATTTTGCCTGCCTGTATGTCTATGCACCACACGTGTGAGTTATGGACAGGTGTGAGCCACCACGTGGGTGCTAGGAATCAAACCTGGTTTCTCTGGAAGAGCAGTCAGTGCTCTTAACCACTGAGCCATCTCTCCAGCCCCTAAAGCTGAGGAGTTTGTTTTTGTTTTTGTTTGTTTCGTTTGTTTGTCTGTTTGTTTTTTCAGGAACATGAATACCTTTCCAGTGGCTATACTACTGTAGAAAATGTTTCTCCCTCTCCCAGCAACTTATAGATCACCAGGGAGGGGTGGATCCCCATGACCCCTCCTTACTCATCTAGACAGAATGTTGATGGGTTCAGTCAGTCTTGTGCAGATCTTATACAAGTAATCATAGCTGCTTTGAAGTCAAGAATGCATCGATTATATCCTGTCCAAAAGTCAACCTCCCACACCACTCCCCCGACTTCCTTCAGTTCTTAGGAATTTTCTGCTCTCTCCTTCACAGTTTTCCCTAAGTCTTAGAGAGGGTCAGATTGATGCCCATTTATGACTGAGCCCTCAACAGTCATTTCCTCTCAGCACTTGGGCAGTTATATCTCTGCAGTTACCACTGGCCCCTACAAAAAGAAGTTTCTCTGACTAGCTAACAGCTGCACTAAGCTAAGCTATAAGCATAGTTATCTAGAAGTCACTTTAATGGGAACATCATGTCCACTTTAAAAAAAAAAAGTAGCAGGTTTCCCCCATGACCTCTTCTGACACAGGATTTTGGCCAGGTAGTACCAGACTTGAATTCCAATGTGGACCAATCCTCAGTTCTAAGTAGAAAGTGGTCAGTTACCTGCTTTCCCCTGCCCAGAACTGACTTACTATTTCAACAGTGGGCACATGTGGCCTGGCCAGTCAGTCCTATAGAACACAAGGTCGCAATCATCTCCCAGCAGCCTGCATGGCACCACCGCCTGGCTCTGTGACAGAGTCACTGGGGAGGAAGCCCCCAGCTCAGTTCCAACGTTTCTCTATGCCCTGAGACCAGAGCTTGTGGTATCTTCAGCAATAAGGTCTTCTCCCTAATTCTGATGGGCAACGAGCCACACTTGCAGATACCTGTATTATTTTAGGGTCCTTAGGGGAGGCAGTAGCCCATCATAGCACTGGGAGTGGGACTTACCAGTCAGTGGCATCTGGGAGCAGCATTAGCCACCCACACAGGGTACCTCCATTCTAATTCCTGTTTTTTAAGTAAGTAAATATGAGGTTTCCTTATGACTTTTTCATACATTTTCGGTTTTAGTTTAACTTCCCACCATCTTCTCTCTCCCATATCTTTGTTCCCATTGTCCCTGTCAATCACCAGTCAGCACTTAGAAAATGCTAGATTCTTTCTGCATAGTCTAACATATGCACCAGAGCCACACAGGACAATCTGACTGTGGCCATTCTCATTTGACATTTAGAAACGGAGGCTCGAGAGAGAGTAAGCCATTTTGCCCAAGGCCCTACAGCTGGCCAGTGGCAGAGAGACACTCTGAAAGCAAGCAACCTGGCTCCAGAATAGATGGCATTAGCCACAGTGTATCAGACATGAAACCTCCTCTCTGAAACTCTAATGGTTCCATTAGGTAGATGTGGCCTTCTCGGCTTCAGGTGTAAAAACTGAGACCAGAAAAGTACTTTATCCCACCCGTGTTCTACCACCAAAAGGAGCTGGTTTCTGATTCTCACCCAAGTTCATAGAGTTGGAAAGTACATCCTCTTCCTCCCCAAGCTCTCAGCCCCTCCACCCCTGTGGCTGCTGTAGACAGCAATGGCCATGGCCCCCGCAATGGCTGTGGCACCTAATATCACTAGCTGTGGGGCTCTGGGAACCACAGAAGCGTGGCTGGGCTGGGTGAGTGTGTCGGGCTCAATGGGGTCACTTACTAACCTGTGCCTTCTGCCTCAGAACCCTCCACGGCAATGACATTTCCAGTGTTCCTGAAGGCTCCTTCAATGATCTGACTTCCCTTTCCCACCTGTAAGTAGCCTCTTTCTCAATGTGCGTTGACTAAAAGCAGAAAATGGTGCCGGTGACAGCCACAGTGTCATCACTTTGTATTCTTTCCTTGTGTTAGGCAGATGTCCCTCCATATGCACAGGGGACTGGCTCCAGGAGCCCCGAGAACCCGCAGATGCTCAAGTCACTTGTGTACAATGAAGTAGCATATGCAGAGCATGCCACACATCCTCCTGTGTACTTGAAATAGTCTCTGGACCATTTAAGATGCCTACTACAATGTAAACACTTTGTAAATAATGGTAATACTATATTGGTTATGGGATAAGGACCCAACTGAAGTCCAGGTTTATATGTGTTTGTTATAGATGGAACTTTTAAAAATTATTTTGGACCCATCGTTGATTGGACCTGCAAATAGGAAACCTGACATTCAGAAGGCCATCAGGAGCTTGTTTTTGAGCTACTGTATTCCACCTGTATACAATGTCTTGTTTCAGAAGCCTTCAAAGGCATCATCAATCCTGTCAAACGATGTGAAAGTTTGAACCCTTCCCATACCCTAAACACATTCAGTGAATTATCCCCTGTATTTCTTATAGCATAAGATAAGAAATCTTATCTTAAGATAAGGGCACCTTATTCCCTTCTATGTGAGGACATTGAGACTTAGGGAAGTTAAAGAATTCGTCCTGAGGCTGCACAGCCAGCCAGTAGCAGAACGGCAGTCCAGCTCCGCGTCTGCCTTGACTCCAGCAGGCACGTGCTCAGCCATTCTGTAGTCCATCCTTACTCTGCTCAAGGAAACTGAGACCATCAATAATAGGTGAGGACCTGAAAGTCACCCATGAAGCCAGTGAGACTCCAGAGTAGAACTCAGTTTCCCTGACTCCCGGGCCAGGCCTCTCTTCCCTAGCTGGTGCTCTCAGGGAGCATTACCTTCTGGGTACCTATCTCTGCTGGTAAGTTTACAAGATTGAATTCCTCCTCTGTATGTATTTTAATTATTTTCATGTTGTGTGCATAGGCTACAACAGTGACATGTATGTATTCTATAAATCAAAAATAGAAATGCTAAAGAATAGGCTTTTGTGTGTGTGTGTGTGTGTGTGTGTGTGTGTGTGTGTGTGTGTGTGTGTATGAGAGAGTCATGATGTTTTCTTCCCAATCACTTTGGAGAAGTTTGCATTCAACTCTGGCCCCGTATCTTCAGTCTCACCTGCTTGAAGCTGCTTCCTAAACCTGGGTCTCAGAACCTTCTTTGAAGGGCATGTCTTCTAACAGACCCTGTGCCTGAGAGCCACATGAGAAGGGGGTCAGAGGTCCAGAATGCTTCCCCGGAGAGCCAGGATTAGAGTAGAGTGAAGGACAGAATTTTCCAGAGCAGTGAGAACAGAGCCTCAGAAGAGGGGTGTCGATTAGGTGGGAACGGAACATCTACTGAACTGGAAATGAACCCTGGAAGCTTTGATTGTGCCTGTGGATGAGTGTTCTAGTCTGCACACCAGACTCCTCTAATTTAGTTTCAAAACCTTGAGTCTTCAGGGAGCCACAGATGGGGAGCCTGTGGGCCAGGCCAGGCAGGGCCTAACTTCTTCTTCTGCTTTTTAGGGCCCTGGGAACCAACCCTCTCCACTGCGACTGCAGTCTGCGTTGGTTATCAGAGTGGGTAAAGGCTGGCTATAAGGAGCCTGGCATTGCCAGATGCAGTAGCCCAGAGTCCATGGCGGACAGGCTCCTGCTTACCACTCCTACCCACCGGTTCCAGTGCAAAGGTAGGTGCTGCCTGCCCACCACATCTCTCCCTCACAGGGTCCATCCGATGTGTTTCCAACATCTAAGCACATGTGACTTGTAAAACCGCAGCCTATCCCATGCATATAACCTAGGTAGCATAGGCATACTGTATACTTTATCTCCACTTACAACACATTGTAAATGCTGTATACAAAGTTGTTATACTGTATTGTTTAGGAACTTTATGACCGGTACGTGATTAGTATGGACACAGTTTTGTTCCAGATGTTTATGATCTGTAGTTGGTTGAATCTTCGGATGTGGAATCTGCCTGTGACAGATCCATGAATACAGAGGGCTGACTTTACTCACTGGCTCCTTCTTTGTATATTTTCCATGGCTGAGAACATCTCTAACTTGCATTCCTCAGCCAGTAATATTAGCATCGTCACTATACTATTCACTCTCTGTGTCTCTCTCTGTGTCTTTCTCTATATGTCTCTGTCCCAGTCTCAGTCTCAATCAGTCAGTCTCTCTCTCTCTCTCTCTCTCTCTCTCTCTCTCTCTCTCTCTCTCTCTCTCTCTCTCTCTCTCTCTCTCTCCTGTGTGTGTGTGTGTGTGTGTGTGTAGGTCACTACTTGTGGGAATTGGTTATGTCCTTCCATCATGTGGACCCCAAGGACTGAACTTGGGTCCACAATGCCAAGCACCTTTACCCTACTGAGCCATCTGGTTGTCCTTGTACATGTGATTTTTATTGACTCGTTATAACAAACCACTCCCGAATTTTTTTTTTGGCGGCGGGGGGGGGGGGGGGGGGGGGAGTTTCAAGACAGGGGTCCTCTGTGTAGTTTTGGTGCCTGTCCTGGATCTCGCTCTGTAGACCAGGCTGGCCTCGAACTCACAGAGATCTGGCTGGCTCTGCCTCCCGAGTGCTGGGATTAAAGGTGTACGCCACCACCGCCTGGCTCACTCCTGAATTCTTACATGGCAGAGTCTAAGTTAAACATGTTTTTATGTATTATTTTATTTAACTCTTACTTATTAAGTGTCAGCTTAATTAATTCCCCAACATTTCTATGGGTAGATATTTATAGTACTCTCATGTTAAATATTTGTAACAACTAAGCCTTAAAGAGGTTGGATAAGTCTTCCCCACTTGGCGGTGTTGAGGGTCAAACCCAGAGCCTTGCTCATCTTGACAAACATCGTCTACTGAGCCACATCTGTATCCAAATTAATTCACAAGAGCACACTATGAGGCCCCCAGGTTTCTCTAACTTCTGACCACCACAGGGCTGTTGTCTTCTACTACAACCTACTCAACTGTTTCTTGGTTTAAAGTCCTCAGTGTTTGATTTCTCTCTTATGGTGATTGCGTGAAGTATTTCTCTGTTTGATAGTATATCCTAAGATAAGATTCAGAGACTCAAAATGACTGACTTAAAATATGTGATCCTTGCCGGGCGGTGGTGGCGCACGCCTTTAATCCCAGCACTCGGGAGGCAGAGACAGGCGGATCTCTGTGAGTTCGAGGCCAGCCTGGGCTATCAAGTGAGTCCCAGGAAAGGCGCAAAGCTACACAGAGAAACCCTGTCTCGAAAAACCAAAAAAAAAAAAAAAAAAAAAAAAAAAAAAATGTGATCCTCGAATGATTTGCAGAGTTAATTTCCCAAAAAGGTAGTAATCAACTTGGGCTCTCATTAGCAGCCTCCAAGTGTCTTTTTCTTAGAGAATTGGTTGTTTTGTCTTACTTTATAGTCAGGGCATCTCCTTTATTCTATCCACCTTTAAATTTGAAGCATCCTGAATTCAATTTCAGAATTTATTTCCCATTTGCATTGAACATTTGTCTGTTGGTGCCCTCTGCTCACCTCCTAGCATCTCAATGTTCAGTTTTTTATTTTCCCTTTAAAACGTTGCTGTGTCCCATGTGGCTGCTGAAAACAGAAAAACATTCCATTGATTTAAAGGTGATTTTAACTTTCTGCTTCCTGTTTCTGAGACATTTGATCTGATGCTAGAGGGACTCAAATAGCCCTGGAACAGTGGCACTCAATCTGGACGGGAGTTACCTGAGGAGCTTTGAAAACCAAGGGCAGGGTTGTCTATGGGTTACACTGCCTAGCATGTGTAAGGTCGGGTTGGAGCCCCACTGCGTGCCAAATAACATTCTGGGTTCCACAGTCGTGGTATTCATTAAACAGGTGTGAGTTATAGCCTAGGCATGGGATGTAGGCTGGTTCTGTTCTTGTCTTGTATGTCAAGAGAAATCTCTGTGCCCTGGGGACCCCCTCAGTCAGAGGCAAGCATGGTCAGATGGTTCCTCTCATTCTCATGTAAGCCCAAGTTGGACCTACAGGTCCTGGAGCTCCCTGGAACCCTTCTGTTCATCTCCCCACCACTGGTCACCCACCAGAATGAATCTCAGCCCGTCTCCAGGTTGAGAACTGTTTGCTCCAGGTCAGTTAAAATTCTGACATTAAATAGGACCTCTACATCATGGCTCATGCTCAAAGCTGTTTGCAGCAATAGTCATAGCCCCTTTTGCATGTGGGGAACATGACCTCCTTTCAGTCCTTACCAAAAAACAAAAACAAACAAACGGACAAAACAAAACAAAACAAAAAACCACAGGAGATGTTTGAAACTTCCATGGGTGAAAAAGACAAAGCGTTCCTGTAAGCATCTTTCTGTGTGGCATCATTACCACTAAGGTCTTGCGGGAAGGACTCTGTGTGTGCCTTTGGCCTTGGCATCCCTCCTTGGCTATTCTATTGGAAAGGGCTTGGCAGGGGCAAAAAAAAGAAGGAGAAGGTCAAAACAGAGCCTGTGCCCAGAACTTCCTGGAATAGAAGACACGCAGGAGGGTTCTAATTATGGTGCACTGTTTGCAGATTAGCACCCAAATCGGATCAGGCTAATTACAGTAATTGATTTGACTGCAGAAGTGCTTCTGTGTGATGTCCCATTGTGATTCGTACTCACTGGACAGTGGTTGAATTAATGGGACTCTTGCCAGATTGGATGTACAGCCTCAAGAGAGCCAGCTGCCCTCTGGGTCTAGAGATGGGAGGGGCCAGAGCAGAGGGGAAGGGAGGTGAGTTAGCCTACTCAGAGTGCTGCCATCCACACTCTGGTTTTGCTACCCAGGGCCAGTGGACATTAACATCGTGGCCAAGTGCAACGCCTGCCTCTCTAGTCCGTGCAAGAACAATGGCACATGCAGCCAGGATCCTGTGGAGCAATACCGCTGCACCTGCCCCTACAGCTACAAGGTAAGGCAGGAGGCTCTGCCCACCACTCATGCCCAGGCTCTTCCTTTGTCCTGGCTTCAGAGAGAGACTCCAGGCAGCTGATGTGACCCAGAGTAGCCTGGATAAGTCTACAACACATGTGACACACACCATAAGTGGCATTAGCCAACAGTATCACTATTCTGCACAATGGCTAAGGCTAAGGTCCATCAGAGAGGACCCATGGAATCTTGACAAGGATGTTTTGAGATGAGAAAGAAATACTGCCTCTGCATTTTCTGTGTGAGTCACAGGGAGACTGCAACCCAGGGAGGTAAAGGGTCCTTTAGTAAAGGCATCCCTTGAACCCAGTATCCTGGCTGCCATTCCAGGGACTAAGGGGATGCAAGACTTGAGGACTCAATAGTCTGGGTCTTCCAAGCCTGCCTTCATAGTTGACAAGCCCACCAAAAGGATTGAGGCTTCCTGTTCTCCCATCCATCCTACCAGAAATCCAGGCTACTTCCAAGACAGTCTTTCCCCCTATTCTTCTTACCCAGCACAATCCAGAACAAGTTACACTGTCTCTATACTAATATGTATGGAGTATGTGCCATGCTTTCTGCTTGGCATTTGACTCACCCCTTCTCCCAGCAAACCTACAAAGAAAGCCTATTATACAAATACAAAAACCAGGCTTCGGTAGGCTTAGGATTAAAACTTAAGGCTATATGGCCCCAAAGACAAAGTCCTTTCACCTGAAGAGGTTACTGAATAGCCAAGCCCTTTTCAGTGCCTCTCTGGGATCAGCAAAGCTGTGGCTCAATGTCCCATGGGACATTCAAGATCCCAGCTTTCCAGGTACCATCTGAATATACTGGACAAGCCAAGAGCCCAGGGCAGCCCGCAGCCCATCTTGTGCACTCTCTGCACAGGCTGAGTGATGGGAACACAGTGCCTGCATCCTCGAAGAACTGTACATGTACAGTAACAGGCTTGAAAGGCAGTTTCTGGGGAACTACCTGGTGGCTTTCTCGTGGACACCCTGGCTGCTAGCAAACGGTGTCAGAGTGCCACCTATGGGCCTGGAACAAGAAAGCCCAAGGATTGCTTTTAAAGCTGTCTGTCCCTGAAGCCTTAAATGTAGCAGAGTCCCAGGACAGAGATTGAGAATGACGTAACTCAGGGCACAGATCCACTGAGACCTCTGTGTATGTGTTCAGTGTAGGGAAAAGGCATCTCAGGCTCTGGAATGACATGGAAGCATGTGTGAATTGTTGCTTTGCCATGTGCCAGCTGTATATCGATGACCAATAACTTCACCTCAGCCTTCTCTGGACACTGGGACGCATCATCCCACAGACTGTGAGAAATAGACATGCAGTCATGGGTACAGTACATCTAGAAAAGGACCTGGCATACGGGAACTGCTTGATAAGCTAGCACGTTGCCACCTTTTGCCTTCTGTCTTGCCGGCCAGCCGGCCACTCACATACTGTAGTGTGAGACTGGCCGTCAGTAGCCTGGGGCACCCTGCTGCTTTCATTTGGGTTTCATACATGCTGTAATATTGCCTTGGGAAAACAGAGTTTCCTAAGGATGCATAGCCATTGCTCTTGGTCTTCTGTAAGGCCAGGCCTTAAGGAAGCAGTTGGGGTGCATTAGCTCACACAGCACGTTTAATCATCCAGAGATAGCAGCTCTTAGCCTCATTTGAGAGATGAGCTAAGATTTGCAAATACAAAGTGCTCACCCATGCTCCACTGCCGACAAAACACAGATGCCGAAACCAGCCTAGTCTTCCCTAGGAACTGGCTCTCCGTTTACCTTGCCCTCCCACCTGAGAGAGGGAACCATCATGCTCTCCAGCAGAGTTGTAACAAGGTTAAAAACACATCACATGTGTGCTTTGCCTACCTACATTCCATATGACCTAACAATCTTACCACTATTCCAGGATTCGGGGAAATCAAATACATCTGATTATTTTTCCACCACTTCATGCCATATGTTCGGTGGCTCAGAGCAGTACTTCCCAAGCCTTCGGGTGCCCAAGAAGCTTATTAAAATCTAGGTTCTGATTCATGAGAGCTTGGGTCAGACCTGATATGGTATATATTTAACAAGCTCTCGAGAGCTGCCCAGGCTACCAGTCCAAGGACCACACTTTGAATAGCAAGGTGTCTTAGCAGTTCCCCAGCCCCCTCTGACACATAGATTCCGACAAGGGAACTGCTCCTAGGCTCTTAGAGAAAGCCAGTAGCCTAGATCCTGTCAGAGAGGGGAGATGAGGTAGCCTGGAGGACAGAAGGAAGAAAGTCGAGGAGCATCCCAAGTCCCATAGATTTGAGTAAAATACAGTGAGAGAGAATTGAATTGGGCTAATTAGGCAGACATTGGAAATGGTGATTATTTTTCAAGGACATGTAAGTGACAGAAACCTCCATCTCCAGCCCCAATTACTGTGTTTTCAAGCACCAGGACATGCCTCTTAGATTTCTGTGCTCTGCCTAGAAGTCTAAAAGAGATCCCGCACACCACACCACCTTTTGGAGTCGGGGAGGATTCTGCCTGGACCAAATGGTACTTGCTCACCTCACCACCCTTCAGGCCAGGTGGTACTTGCAAGATCACCAGAGTAGACGGGCCAGATTACAGACAGGGTTGGGATTGGGGGGTCCCCACTAGATCATTTTTGAGGTTCCCTTATCCTGCCCTTCATACTTACCTCTTTAGTACCACTATCACCCATGCATGTATCCCTGAACTTTTGAGCATACTCAGCCCTGTCCCAGCCCCTAGTCATGGTCATCACTGCTGTTATTTACAGGGCTGCGACATCTATGAGGTACCTTGCAGGTAATGTGATCCTGTAATGGCAGTGCAGGTAGAAATTGAGCATCCCTTAAATCAGTGGTTCTCAGCCTTCCTAATGCTGGGACCCAACCATAAGATTATTTTTCATTGTTACATCATAACTATAATGTTGCTACTGTTAGGAATCTTAATGTAAATATCTGGTATTTCCAATGGTCTTAAGTGACCCCTGTGAAACCTACAGGTTGAGAGCCACTGCCCTCTCTGAAATGCCTGAGACCAGAAGCATCTCAGATTTCAGGTGTTTCCGGATTTTAAAATACTTGCATATGCACACCAAGATATCTTGGCACTGGGGACCTGAGTCTGTGTCCCAGAACCCATGTAAAAAGCTAGACATTATGATGCCTATGTGTCACCTCAGAACTGGGAGTTGGAGACAGGCATAGTCATGGAGCTCGATGACCAGCCAGCCTAGACAGGTCATCAAGACTCGGGTCTCAGTAAGAGATAGGCCACTGCATTAGCTCAGCGGATAAGGGCACTCACCACACAAGCCTAGTGCCATGAGTTGGATATCCAGATAAAGTGCATACATGGGTATCCATGTAAAATGGAAGGAAAGAACCAGCTACCAACTCCACAAATGATCCACTGACCTCACATGCACTGTGGTACACACCATGTGCATATGTGCGTGCACGTGCATACATACACACACACACACACACACACACACACACACACACACACACACATACTAAGGTATCTGGAAGATAGACTCCAACGCTAATAATGAAATTTGCCTGTTTCGTATATACACATAGCCTGTAATTGTAGGCACTTTTATTATACCTGCATTTTGACCAGGATGCATCTCCTGGGGTCAAAGGTAGAATTTTCCACTTCTTATGACCTGTCAGCACTCAAATGTTTGATGGTTTGGTATACTTTGAATTTCTAGATTAGGCATACATACTCTACCTCACTCCCATTTCATGGAACATAAAAACAAGATCCAAAAGAACTAATCATTTCCTTCAGGCATCTAGCAGCCAGCCTAGACTTGGCTCCGATACACAGCACTCCAGAGCCCAGGTTTTTAGAGGGACGGAATAAATGGCCCAGCATAGAGGTGCCTGGTGCCGAATTCGGACTCAGCTGTCTGGGTTCATCTGTTGGCCGCCTCTTTCACTGACTGCTGTGTAGTCTCAGACCTATTACCTTCTTTTCCAAGTCTGCCTTCCCTCTCTGTAAAAAGGAGTGTAATGACAATTGTACCAATCTCATAGGGTTCTTGGGAACATTATATGTTAACGTGAATATAAAACACTTAGCATGAGACCTGGAATGGAAAACGTGCTCAATAACGTGAGTGAGAATTCATATTACACTTTCCATTCCAGACATTGACTTTCAGATGGGGGGCCCTGAGTCACTGTGGCTTCAGGGTACAGCCAGATAACTCCTTAAAGCACACTTTCCCTCTCACTCTCCCCTCTGAGAAACCTCTGTGTGGGGCACGGATTCACTTAAAGAGCCAGACAGACAGGGACAATGCCTTCCAGCTACTGGAGAGGGGCCTGGGGCTCTAGTGTGCAAGTAGGAGGATACATCTGGGCCCACGGTGGAGGCTAGCCTGGCCCAATGCCTCACGCTCAGTTGGCAGTAACCACACAGCCAGGAAGCCCCAGTCCCATGCCATCACAGGCACTGGCAGCCACAGAAGACGGGACGGACTCATCTCAGGCAGATGGTGAGCAGGTGGTGGTGGCGGTGGGAAGGCTCCCATGATCACCCTGGCCTGGCAAGCACCCAAGTCACTGAACCCATGGCTCAAAAAATATGTGCAGCAGACACCTCCCCAGGCCTGGAGCTACTAGGTACTGCCACATGCAGCTTGTGTGTCCCAAGAAAGTACAGGATCCATGTCCCAAGTTTAGGATCCTAGTCCCAAGAGAGAAGCAGGAGCCATGGGCCAAGAGGATCCCTGGGATGTTAGGTCTGTGCCTACAGTCTGTACCTTGGGGTCACCTACTCAGAGCCTTTGTCCTCATTTTTCCTTCTACCTGGCATGATCATCCCCACCTGCCATACACTGGCACCTTCTCAAGTCATACCTACCCTGGAGAGGAACCTGGTCCAAAGGAACTCTGCCTCACTCCAAACCATTGCAGTTCTCAGCCTGGCCTGGCCTTGGACTGGAGAGCAAATGCAGATTACTTGTAATAGGAATAGAAGTAACAGGAATAGAAGAAGAATGCCAGCTCAAAGGCCCAGAAAATATTTTCAACAAAAATCATAAAAGACAATTTCCCTATCCTAAAGAAGGACATGCCTATAAAAGAACAAGAACACCAAAGAGATTGGACCAGAAAAGAAAGACCCCCTTGCCACATAATAATCAAAACACTAAACATACAGAACAGAGAAAGAATATTAACAGTTGAAAGGAAAAAAGGACAAGTAACATATAAAGGCAGACCTATTAGAATTACACCCAGCTTCTCAATGGAGACTCTAAAAGCCAGAATGGCCTGGACAGATACCCTGCAGGCTCTAAGGGACTCCACTGAAGACCAACCAATCAAGGAGGAACTGGGGTGGGATGCCACTTTACACACCCCAAGTCTACAGGTTATACCTTAGTTCCCTCTGCTCACGTTGTGGGTTATATTTAAAGCTCAGTGAAACAAATAGCAATACCATCTGCTAGCTTTTCCAGAATGCCTACTGTGTGCCAAGGATGTTACATAATGTACCATGCTTCCTTCTGTGAAAACTCCCATGTGGTTCTCCTAACAACCCTGTTAAAGGGCTTGTGCCCGCCATCAGCCAGGAAGAGGTAGAGCTGGAAACCAAACTCCCCAGGACCCCCGACCCGTACTCATGCCCCACAGTTGAGGACAGCGAAGCCTGTGACCTCCGGAAATCAGTCATGCTGGAGCCTGAACTCTGCACTCTCGACATTCCTGCCCCTTCTCCTCAGCAGTGACCAGAGGCGATGACTCCCTTTGTCTTGTGCCAACCTCCTCACTTCCACCTCAGCTTCATCCCAGGGGCCGCTGGGAAGTCTCTGGGGTCTCCCGGGTCATAGCAGTCATCAAAGGCCTCACTCACCAGATGCTTTTCCCCTATCTGTTCCTCAGGGCAAGGACTGCACCGTGCCCATCAACACCTGTGTCCAGAACCCCTGTCAGCACGGAGGTACCTGCCACCTGAGTGAGAGCCACAAAGATGGGTTCAGGTAATAGCTCAGCTCTGACCTTCCCTCTTCTCAGAGAGCTTCTGGGTCAGATTCCTGTATAGGGATGATGTCAGTGGGGGAGGCATTTATCCCTGCTCTATACAGGAGGAAACTGAGGCATCAAAGGATGAACCTTCTCCTCAGAGATACAAAATAGTATCAAATATTATGTACACAAATACAGGGATTTGAATCTAAGTTCTACTTTGTGAGCCTGGAGGTCTCCAAGGGAGGCTGTGGATGCTGCTCAAGTCAGAGGAAGGGACACTGGCCAAGAACCCCACCCACCTGGTGGTCCCACCACCCCATTTCTGTGTCACAAATAGCAGGGGCTACTGCTGCCACATTCTGTGGCATCTACTCTTACGTTATCTCTCCTAAACCTTCTCACACCTCTGTTGGGGCATGGGGGAGTTCGATCTCCATTGAGCAGAGAGGAAGCTGAGAGCAAGTAATGGTCACATGTCCTGACTCTGGTTCCTGGCTCTTCTAACCAGGCTTCTAGTCCTTTCTTACTAGGCAGAAACTCCTAGGAGTGGGAAGGTGCCACTGGCCCATCTGTCTCCCACCAGCTTCCAGGTGTGCAGTTTCCCCAGCAGAAGCAGATCCCTGGGAAGGGGCTCCCACAGCACAGCAGCTTGGGCAACAGCTCCTTCACCATAAAGATGAGACCCTGGTGCCAGGCAGACTCTGGGCAATGTCAGAGCTCAGATTGCACGTAATTGACTATCAAAAGCCCTCCAGCCGAGGCTGCCGTGTGGTCTGGGGAAGAAATCTCCAGAGAGCCCAGCTGGCCCATGCATCCTTCTGCCAGGCCAGCCCCACCCAACCATGAGTCCTGAAAAATGGAACTCGGGCACTGTTCCTGCTCCTGCCTGGAGTCAGCCAAGCCACCCACTCCCTGTTCACCAAGAAAAGAAGAGGAGGTGACCATGGTGGCCCCAGCCAGGAAGTGTACTTCTAGGGCTGAAAGTGGGTGCTGCCCTACTCAGGCCCGAGACAGGGTCCAAGTGGGGGCAGGGATTCCCTGAGAGTGATTGTTCATCAAGGTTCCACTTCACCCTCGGTCCCGGACGATTTTCATGGGAACTGGAAAGTTAGCTGTGAAAGACATAATGCCCACGTCTACAGGACTAGGGAAATGGGGCAGAAGGTTTCGGCAGAGGCAGATGTAGGGATGACCTGTCCGTGTGTGCTCCTGGGAGGAGCTACCTTCTGCTGCAGTATTGCGCTGAGCAAGGCAGACAGGCAGAGACACCGTAGCGGGGTTATGAAGAATAGCTCCACAGCCCTCTTCAATCCTGGAGTCAGTTCCTAGGATTTCCCAGCCGCCCAGGCTTAAAACAATGGAAACATTTTCTACGGTTCTGGAGGACTGACACCCAACACCTACGTGTGTGCAGGATGCAGCTCTTCCTAAAACCAGTGGGAGGGGACATCACCCATCCAGTCCTGGATTCTGCTTTACTGGAAATCGTGGGCATTCCTTGGCTTATAGCTGCATCATTCTCTCTTCAGTATGTATCATCACAGAGCACCAGGGCTATGCTTGTCTCCCCATAGCTGTCCTCTTACAAGGATGCCATATTGGATTAGGGATCTGCCCTCCTATACTTCAACTCACCATCATAGCTGCATCAGCACCATTTCCAAATAAGGTCACATCCAAGGTCCAGGGGGTTGCTGCTTCATCTTACCATTTTTAGAGGACCATAGTTCAACGTCCAACACCTCTAAAGTGGCAGAATCCCAGAATCATCACCTGCCCTCCCCACTCAGGTGCCTTGTGCATTGCCTGCTCACCAAAGGAGCAAAAGCCGGGCCTGAAGGTGTAGCTCAGCTGCAGAGCAGTTCTGCAAAAAATTATAAAACAAGCCAGTAAATAAATTAGACAGACAGACAGACAGAAAGGGCCACAGGGCTAACCATACAGGAGGACCAAAAGGAAGATGAGACCTCAAAATCTGAACTAAGTCCTCACTGCTAGCCAACAGTCCTGGAGTTGCCCTGGCCAGGGCTTCTCAAATTATTCCACTCATGACCCCTTTTTGCCCTGAATATTTTTATTTGACCCTTGCTATAAAAGTATGTGAGCAGCCAGGCGGTGGTGGCGCATGCCTTTAATCCCAGCACTCGGGAGGCAGAGCCAGGCGGATCTCTGTGAGTTCAAGGCCAGCCTGGACCACCAAGTGAGTCCCAGGAAAGGCGCAAAGCTACACAGAGAAACCCTGTCTCGAAAAACCAAAAAAAAAAAAAAAGTATGTGAGCAAGTCAGGACTAGAAAGATGATGACTCAGTGACTTTGCACACTGGCTACTCTTCCAGAGGACCCAAGTTTGATTCCTAACACTCTTATGGTAGTTCACAGCAGTCTGTAACTCCAGTTCCAGTGATCTGATGTCCTCTTCAGGTGTCCGTGGGTACTGCATGCACAGGGTGCACAAACATACATACAGGTAAAATAGCCATACACATAAAATATTTTTTTAATTTAAAATATATGAAAAAAATCATATACTTTTATACCCAGGGTATAAAAAATCATAAATTTATTTTAAACAATTCCTAGGGGTGTGTGTATATGCTGTATATTATTAATAATTGTATTATTAATATTTATTTGCTATTAAAGACAAAGACAAATTGGTATACTAATAAGATTAATTAGATGTTGGCTAAATATTTGATATTGTAGGACAAAGAGCACCTTCAACTTTTTTTAGAATTGATAGAGATTTTTATTTTAAAAGCACCAACTCTTAGAACAGCACTTTGCATAAAGACCTGGTCCAAAATGGCAGAAGTATATTTAGGACTATTTCAGAAATTGTTGGAAATTCCGTACTCAACCCAAGCCAAAATCCATTTAACAACTTTTTATGATACTCATCATCAGCTCCAGTAGCATTTTTAGAGTATTATTTATTCCTTGACAATTTCAAACATGTGTACAGTGTATCTTGATCATATCCAACCCAAATATCCCCCTCCCACTCTGCCCAGATCTCTACTAACACATCTGCCTTCTACCTCCAAGTCCTTTTTTTTTTTAATAACCCACTAGGCCCAGTTAGTACCACCTGCATGTGCATGGGTGATGAACCATCCACCAGAGCATGGGCAGCCTACCAACAGCTATACCACAGAAGAAAATGACCCTACTCCAGCGCCATCAGGTGTCCGTAGCTCCTCAAGTAGGAATGTGTCCCCTCCCACCCGTGCTGGAACGATGGCTGGCCTGATCTTGTGCAGGTCCTGGGTAGGTAGCCACAGCTGCTGGAAGCTCATGAGTGCATCAGTCATGTCATTCCAGCAGGACAGTGTTTCACTGAACCCCTCACCATCCTCCATATCTTACATTCTTTCCACCTCCCTGTAGCTAGAGTTTTTCTCTCCGGGTCCCACCAAGCCCCGGCAGTCCAGTAGCCCACTTATAAAATAAACATACAGACGCGTATATTATTTAAACTGCTTGGCCATTAGCTCAGGCCTACCATTGTCTAGCTCTTACTCTTCTACTCAGCCCATTTCTATTAATCTATACTTTGCCACATGGCTCATGGCTTACCGGCACCTTACATCTTCCTTGTCCTGGCGGCGGCTCGCAGTGTCCCCCCCCCCCCCCTGCCTTCCTGTTCTCTCAGTTCTCCTCTCTGTTAGTCTCGCCTATACTTCCTGTCTGGCTACTGGCCAATCAGTGTTTTATTTATCAATTAATCACCTCCCCTTCCTGGATGTCCCCTGATGAGCCTTAGGGACAGTTGATGCAAATGTCCCATTTGGGGCTGAACACTCAACTCTCACTTACCCTCTGCACTTTGACCACCCACGTTCGATGGTAGCTCTGATCTGTGGGTATACACATAAATATTTAGAGGCATTTGAAAACATGCCCACTGAGGAAAACAACAGCAACAGCTTCCCACCTTGAGCCTGTGACCTTCGGGACCACGGGCTTTGAACCAGTAATAGTGTCAGGCAGGTATCCCTCCCACAGAGAGGCCTCAAATCCAATCAGAGATCGGTTACACCCGTGACAATCATATCACCCGTGCACCCGTGTTACACCTTACCTAGAAGGTCAGATTGTAGCCTCAGGGTCCACCACTGGGTAAAGTAGCCCATGAAGGATGCTTTTCTCCCTCGGCATCCTGAATAGAACTTTCTTGAATTATGAAAACTAGTTAGTAGGAGAAAGCTTCTCAGTCACTTCTAGCCTGATTTCCCTGTGTCCTACAACCAAAGTGTCAAACGGCAATTTTTAAAATGAAACATTCCAATACAGTACGATCCAAAGATATGCCACATTGATGAAGAGCGGTGGTAGGAAAAAAATGGGGGGAAAATCCTTACTATTTTAGTTTTAGAACTTTATTCATGTACATATTTTCTGCGTTCAGACCATTTTGTTTCCATAACAGCAGAAAAGTGCATGTGTACGGTAAAAACACTGCAGTTCGTAGCGTACAAAAGTCTCCGATCTGTGCAGAGGTGTCGATCTGTGCAGAGGTGTTTCGGGCCCCGTGGTGTGACAGCGTGCATGGTGCACAGTGCACATGTGTGTGCTCAGAAGCAAAGCTGCAGAGAAGTCATGTGATGTGGCACCGGCAAGCGCGGCCCAAAACACCTGGGATTCATTATGCATTTGATTTTTAATTAAATTTTGGACCATGTTCGTTCAGAAACCGTTTACTGTTGCCAGAATTTTCACAAGCCCTACATTCAGTTACAGGATCCCATATGGGGGTCACAACCTGCCATTTAAACAGCTTCGTCTTTGAGAACCCCTTCAAGGTGCCTGATAAGGACTTTGACATCCTCTCGCCCTCTCCAGCCATTAGCAACACCTACTCTGTTGACCGGCATCATGTCCGTTGTCCTTGCCAGGCAATCCCCAGACCCCGGGAAAGTCCAAGGAATTGTTTTGGGGGAGGGGGAAATAACAGTTGCCACCCTTGTTTATGATTGCTGAGTACCAGCCCCCATGTGACTGTAAAGAATTGGCCTTTTTCATGATGCCCTGGGTCTGTAACAGAAAGGGAGACTGAGGATCATTTTGCTCTGCTGTTCATGAGCTCAATCCTCAAACATCCCTGGACTTTTGTAGGAAATGTGATATGGTTTTCAGGTTGTAAGGAAATAAGTAAAGTAGGATTCTGGGGCCATGAAGTTTGCTTTCTCTTAGTTTAGTTTACTTTTTAATCTATATTCAAAATCAGAGCAGTCTTGAAGTAGAGGCCTGGACTTCAGGTCTAAAGCTGGAGCCACTTTCATGGATGGCCATAACTCCTTGACCAGAACTCGGGCCCTGAAAGAGGGAACTTCACAGAGTCACTTCATCAGACACTCGCTCCCTCCCACCCCTCAGCACCTCCTCACCCCTGGCTTCTCCACCACTGCCCAGGCTTTATCTGCTGTCCTTTAACCTCGCATGCCCACTCCTGTGAGCAGGGTTTGGCGGGATGGGGTGGGGAAGTCATCTCAAACAGATGTACCACAGCAGAGGCAAATGAAAGAAGTGCACCTGCTGATTGATGTCCTTTGAGATAAGCTCACAGAGGGTCCTCAGTCTTGGCAAGAGAGGAGTCCTCCCACTCTGCCTCCCCAGAGGCTGGGGTGGCGGGACATGCAGAAGTAGCAATCGGGGAGATGGTTACAGTGGTTTCTGTCTAGAACTAAGTGTACTGAGTGATTTCTCCGTTGTTGTGCGGCGCTCCCCTTGTTTGGTTGCATAGATAACATCATTAAATCAGACATCTAGAAAGTGCCAGGCCGGAATGCATTTCCTAGAGACCTAGTCACAGAGCTGTGACCTTGACCAAGATGCCTGATTTACCCCTCAGCATAGAAAGTCTGCCTGAGAATGAAACATTATGGGGAGTGCTTTTCTGCCCCTCTCTGTCTGCTCCACAGAGGAGCCAAAGGAAAGGGGAATTCAAATACAGCTGCAGAGATTTAAGCCGTTTCCAGGAAACCACTTCCTCCAGCTGGGGGGTGGGGTGGGGGTAGAGGCCTTGCTGCTGTAAAGCAAGGTAGGGGGCCAGCACATTGCCTGGAAATGAGTAGCTAGACAAAAAGACCTTGTAGGTTCCTAAGTGTCTTCCTACTCGGGTCCCCAAGACTTCAGTGTCCACTATGCTGTCTTAGACCTCCAGCCCCAAGAGAGACCTGATGATTGTTTTCTGCCCCCTCACCTTCCTGCCTTCCTCTGAAACCTGCCCTGTTCCCTGGCCCTGGAATCCCCTCCTTTCTATACATTCATCCCTAAAGCTGCTCCTGCCCGCTGGGCTTTGAGGGACAACGGTGTGAGATCAACCCCGACGACTGTGAGGACAACGACTGTGAAAACAATGCCACCTGTGTGGATGGGATCAACAACTACGCATGTGTGTGCCCGCCTAACTACACAGGTAAGGCTACAGAGGGACGTGGGATCAACAACTACGCATGCGTGTGCCCGCCTAACTACACGGGTGAGGATAAGAGGGATGCACTCATGCCGGTGGGTTTGTGGGGTGGAGTGGGGTTGAGGATGTCACTAAGAGGGTAGAATTTTCTTAGTGGTAGCCTGGAAGGAGGAGGGACCCCACCTCCTCTCTCTCTGTATTAAGACTGAGACACCAAGACCCAGAGAGCCTTCCCAGGACCCTCTCTTTTATTTTTCCCTCTCTGCCATCTGCACCGTCCCAGGCAAACCGCTAGCTCCTCCCCACTTTGGGACATACTTATGAGGCTCTTGCACCTGCCCTGCAGTGCTTATGGCCACCCCTTCCCTTGGGAACCCCACGTGTTTGAGGCTGGGCAGAGAGGTGCTTTCACCGGTGGGGCTTTGTTTAGTTCTGGAAATCTGTCCTCCATGCACTCTTCTAGGAGCTGGGAATGCAAAACTGAGCAAGACCCCATTCCTTCTCCTAAGAGGCTTAAGGTCGGCCTGAGAAACATGAGCTTCAGTGGGAGGAAAGGTCCAGGGGTGGGGGGATTGTGAGACCACAGTGGAGAACTTCCCCGGCTGGCGGATATAAAGAAGGCTCCCATGGGAAGAATTCCCCAGGAATGTCTTCCCACCCACCCACCACCAAAGCCCAACACCTCTGTTTCCTACATCCGCAAATCCTCATGAGTACATTTAAATATTCCTTTTGCTTGGGAAGCAAAATGTCACCAACTGAGGCAAGCAGCCTGCTGTGTGGTGACATCAACCTGAAGTGGTGTATCCCAGACTGCACTTCCGTGAATCCTTTGAAAAATGGACCCATAGAATTTAACTCCATGGTTTTAGAAAGCAGTAATAATTATAAAAACCTGGAAGACACTGCATATAATAGCCATCTTCTTGGAGCTGTGACTCAAACTAACATGGTGGAATTGTGAACATTCCTGCGTTAAGGGATGCTATTTGTGTCCCTCCCTGGTGTATTTGATCTCCAAGATGTCTTCTTGCCCCATTGTGACCCACGAAACACCATTACAGACCTAGACATACTGTGTTAGAAGTAATGTCATTTGGAAATCCAAACCTAAGACAAGGAGAAAATGGTGCTATCGGGGGCTCCCGGGCCCTAGTCCATGGAGCCCGGCTCTTCTGTGAAGTGGGGCAGGAGGAGGCAAGTACAAGTGGAGGCATGCCCGCAGAGGTAGAAATGCAGAAACTCTCTTTGCCCCTCAGAGATTTTACGGTCAGCTCAAGATTCCCAAGAACAACTTTGGGACTTCTGACCTGTGCCAAGGCCAATGGGAAAGGCCATCTACTCTATTAGCCCAAGCTTCCTGGACACAGACAAGCCCATCTGCAGGGGAACCTCCCTACACCCTGCCTCTCATTCTGAGAGCATGGGGATAAGCAAGAATTGCCATTGGCAACAGGCAGCCGTTGTTGGGCACTTAACTATATGCACAACACTGACATTAGGTCCATGGTACGGCTCAGGGCTTCTGCCTACCTAAGACAAGAGGAAGCCCACTGCAGCATTAAATCTTTGTTCCAAAAGACAGTGCTTGGTACCAAAACAGAATCACAATGCCAGCAGCTAAGGAGAGGGTAGAGAGGCTCAAATTGGCAGAGACGGACTTTTAAAAAAACTCCAGCATGCAGATGGGCATGGAGGCAGGGAGCTGAGGTGTGCCCTCTGCCCCATGCAGCCCTCCTGGTGTCGGTGGGTGACTAGGCTCCTGCACATACATTGCAGTTTGCACCTGAGAGGGGAGCATTATGGCTTCTCTGTCTCAAAAAAGCATCTGCATCCTACCCACACACTTGTCTATACCCGAGTCTCTGTGGGAGACTAGGAAGAGGAGGAGGCCTCCCAAGAACAGTGTCTCTCCCGGGGCAAATGTAGAGAGGTACAATTGGGGTCGAAATCAGGACAGGGTAGGGGTCAGGCTGTCCCCACCACAGCATAGACTAGTCTCTCAGGCTGTGTCTCATGTAGTCACTGGCCAGCCACCTTCATTCTTCCTGTCCCTCTTAGCCTCCTATTTACTCCTGACTCTAACCCCCTGGCCTTCTGGAACGAGCTTCCAAGGTTAGAAGTTTTCCTCTCTTAGATCACTTTCTACTTGGCTTTTTGAAAATAAAATCCAGGCTCAGCAGTTAAAAGCACTGGCTGCTCTTTCAGAGGACCTGGGTTCAAGTCCCAACACCCACATGGGGGCTCACAGCCATCTCTAATTCCAATTGTGTGGGATCTGATGCCCTCTACTGGTCTCTACAGGTACCAGACATACATGTGGTCACAGACATACATTCAGGCAAAACACCTATACATATAAAAATAAAAAAACAAAAATTTTAATAAAAAATAAAATCTTGACTTTAAACTCATTCGCTGCTCCGTGATACGGTCCGGCCTCCTCACCCTATAACTGCATTCCTAACACACATTTTCAGATGATGCAGGTTTATCGGATCTATCCACGTTCACCATCCCTGGGTACTTATGACACATAAGGCATTTTGCAGGGCTGTGAACTTCAAAGATAGTATATATCCAGAGATCAGAACTGCAAGCGCCTTTATTTCCTTCTCTGAAACATCCAACTGGCTTTCTTGACTGCAGCAGATAGAACATGTCTAGTCCATTTTTCCAGGAAGCTTCTACCTGGCCTCCTGGGCAAGACTGTGGGTCCCCATCTTTGTGTCCACAGGTCACTGTCATGGTGGCATTCACAACTCTGAGTGCCACCTGCCTACCTGTTTGCAGATTCTTTTCGCTAGGCCATGGAAGAGGATACGTTGGAAGGTCACTGTTGTGTTCCCAGCCCCTGGCACAGTGCCTCCCATGTAGAAGATACTCAATAAATAGATGGTGAATAGGGAAAAAATCAGTATGAGTAAGCATAGTCCAAGGTCAGCATCTAGCCTGTGACTTCAGCTGTAACAGTTCCAGAAAGGTCAAAAAAAAATCAGCCAGACAGTGCTGAGTGTCCAGAGACCCCAGGGACCTTCTCACTGTCACTCTAGGGAAACTGAGTCAGGAGTCCGGTAAAAAGGATATACCAAAAGAAGAATGAAAGGATCCTGGTGTCCATGACCTATGACCTAGAGTGGGACAAGTCTGACCTTGTGGCCTTGGTGACCCCCAGTATCCTCCCAGATGCCTAATTTCTCTTCCCCGTGATCTCCAGGGGAGCTGTGCGATGAGGTGATTGACTACTGTGTGCCCGAGATGAACCTCTGTCAACATGAGGCCAAGTGCATCTCCCTGGACAAAGGATTCAGGTAAGGCGCGGCACGGCCTCGTGTTTTGGCATGGAGCCCTGAGGACTCTGCCTCCACCAGCCTAGGTCTGAGGCCCTGAGTCAGGCAGTGTCTCCCCCTACACAGCCTGTCACCCCATCTTTCTCTCCCCTGTACTCATGTGCGTCTCTCTCTGACCCAGGCCTGGTCATATCTCCACAAGCTGCCTTTATCTTTTACAGTTTCTTCCTTTCTGTATTCTTCTGATGCTAGATAAAGAGATGGATACATCCCCTCTTCCTCTCCCCCTCCCTCTGCCTTCTCGTTCTCTCCCGCCTTCTCCTCTCTTGGCATATCTTTCCTTCCCAGAGCTGAAAAGGAGGGGCCATCCACAGAAGGAACCATCACAGGTTGATCCACCGTCTGAAAGGTGTCTGGTCACCGACCCAGTGTGTAGCCTTCCTGGTGGGCCGCCTTCTTGGTCCTGCTTCCCCAAGGAAAGTTTGCTAGACCGTACCTGTGGGAGGGAGGTGGTAGGACCAGGAATTCTTTCTAGGATGAGCAGCCGCTGCCATTGGTGGAGCATTCTCCATCTCTAGCAGCAGAGCCAGGCAGGGGACTACATGAGGAATTCGTAGAGTTAGGAAGAGGCAGCCTGAGAGCACCACGCAGTTCTGGGGCCTGAGTGTATCTTCCCATATGCTGTCTTTTTTCTGTGTGTGTGCGCACTCACCAACATGGTGTGCGTGTGGACCACAGGTTGATGTGGAATGTTGAAGCCTGAAGTTTGCAGTGCCATGACTGGCTTTTCTGTGGGTTCTGGGGATCCAAACCTGGGTCCTCGGCTTGCACAGCAAGCATCTACCCGCTGAGCCCTCTCCCCAGATTTGTAGTACCCTTTTCTGTTGTGACATCCTGGTCCTTTTGTTCATCTCCAGGGCAGTTGTAAGAGGTGTGAGGCCTCTGACTTTGCCAGGATAAATGAAGCCACGGCTGCTCTGGGTGTCACCCTGATCTAGTCTACCTGTCTGCTCATGCCTCTCTGACATATGCTAGGAAGGAGTTTCAGGAGGTGGGGCCTCCTGAGTGCAGCTCCCAGACTCCCACCACCCCAGGATCCAACACCAACCGAGAGCCTCTAGTTACTAAATACCAGGCTGTATACTGCAGGTGGACAGAATGGTCTGAAGTGCAACCTGGAGATAAGAACCATGCAAAATCATGCTTGGACCCAAAACAGGGAAGCCCAGACAGTCAAGCAAAGGCCTTTGGGTGTGCCAGGAAGGGAAATGAATGGTTACTAACCCTCAGCTCTACAGAATGAGGAGATGAGTATCATTCAAGGCCAAGTGGACAGGCGGCAAACTAAGAGGGCATGGACTTTGAAAGAACCCAGCAGGCCATGGAAACTGGTCAGGGGTGGGTGTGGACACAGAGAGTTAGAGCCGCCAGATTTTCCATAATCCTCTGATGTTTGTTCTGAAAACCTTGCCCTCTGCTATAACCAAGACCCTTGAGTCTGGGACAATACAGGAAAAGAAGACAGCAGCCAAGCTTTGCTTGAGTCATCTTATTTATATGTCATGTCGTGTCTCTTTCTGAGACAGTGTCTCAGAAAGTCTGTAAAAGCCAACTCAGTAGTGGTCGTTTTTATATTAAAATGCCTGTAAACAATAATCCATTCTCCCACTGTGGCATTTTATTATTGTGCCCCCCTCCCTGCCCATCATCAAACACCTGATATCCCGCAGCAGCCTGGAGGGACATTAATGAGAGAGGGTGTTGCAGTCGGGATGGCCTTTGCTTAGCTTTGGAGACACTTTAATGAGGTCTCGGTGTCAGGCAGATCTGTTTAGAGGCCCTGGAAATAACAAAGATCTCATTGACTTGTGTATACTGAAAACTCCATGCAGTGCCGGGTCTCATGCTTCCAGTGGAGAGACTGTGGCCCTCCCAGCCCATACCCGGTGACACCAACCCAACTGCCAGGAAGAGAGAAGAGGGTCTGCAAGTCTGGTATCTGCTAGATCCAGATACTCCAGGTGGCCTAGGCCCTTGGTCACTAGATCCAACACAGACTTTACATAATATCAACATGGAAGATACATTAAAAATAAAAAGAATTGAAGTGGCATCACCTGCTGCTTCCGTAATCTGAGACGTATTATGTGGACCCTACTGTGAGGAGTGAGGTCCTCAAGCCAGTGAGTACCTCATGGAAATGTGTTAGGAATGAAGTGCCTGGACCCTGCCCAGGCTCCCTGGGTCAGAGGCTGCATTGTGTTTGTTTGTTTGTTTGTTTGTTTGTTTGTTTGTTTGGAGACAGAGTTTCTCTGGGTAGCCCTGGCTGTCCTCGAACTCGCTCTGTAGACCAGGCTGGCCTGGAACTCAGAGCCACCCACCTCTGCCTCCCAGGTGCTGGGATTAAAGGTGTGCTCCACCACTGCCCACTGCCTGGTGCATTTTTTTTTTAACTGGCAAAATCCTTAGATGTTTCCTTTGCTCGTTAATGTCTAAGGCCGTGCCAATAGAAGTCTATAGACAGCCTCACCCCCCAGGCCTCCACCACTGAGTTTAGAAATGGGAGTAGCTTTCCCTACTCATCAGTTGCCTTGAACTTCATGTTTTAAAGGTTGGTTTTTATCCTGTTAAATGCTGGAGAGGTTTTTTGAAGCCTTGGAGAGGGCCGGTTAGTTTCGTCTGCTCTCCGGGGCTCTTTTGGATCCAAGTGATGAAACTGAAATGCCCGTCACGGCTGGGGTTTGGTTTTGGTTTTGATTTTAATTTTTTTTAGCTAGTTTACAAAATAATGGGCTTCATTTCCACATTCTCATAACATACATCACTGTGCCTTGTTCCTATTGGTCTTCCCACCCTCTCCCACCCCTCCTCCAGGCCCAGTTTTACCAGCAGCTAAAGTGTTGAAGCATATTCCAATGCCTCAGATTTCTAGTTTGTTTCTTTAGAAAATTGCCTGAAACCAGTTTTGGTGGCAGAAATTTCTTAAACATTTTTAAAAAATTTCTTTATATTTTGTGTGTGCAAATACACACACACACACACACACACACACACACACACACACACACACACACACAAAGTCCCTGGTGCCTAAGAAGGCCAGAAGGGGGCATCAGATACCCTGAAAGTAGAGGTATAGACTGTTGTGATCTGCCACATGGGTGCTAAGAACCAAACCTAGATCCTCTGTAAAAGCAGCAAGTGCTCTTAACCAATGAACCATCTCTCTAAAGATTCTGCTTTGGATAGGGCCTCGCCTACAGGCCCCTGAGGATCTGATGTGATGCCCCTGGAAGGTGCTCAGCCAGGTGTCTGCCCCCTAGGGGTTTTTTTTTTATGTTTTTGTATATGCATGTGTGTGCAAATTCCTGCAGAGGCCAGAAAGGGTGTCAGGTCCTACTGGAACTCTAGTTACAGGTGGTTGTGAACTGCCTGATGTGGGTGCTGGGAACTGAACTTGGGACCTCTATAAGAGCAGCAAGTGCTCTTAACTATTGAACCATGTCCTCAGCCCTGGTGGCAGACACGTTAGCACCAGGACTTAGAAACCCCAATAGAAGAGTCAAGAGTTTGAGGTCAGCCTAGGCAGCATGCGAAGTTTGAGGCTAACCTGGCTTTGTCACAAGACCTTATCTTAAAAAAAAAAAAAAAAAAAAAAAAAAAAAAGCCAAAGAGAGAGAAGGAAGAGTGAAGGATGGAAGGAGGGAGGGAGGAGGAGGGGGGGGAGAAGAAAAGGAAGGAAGGAAGGAAGGAAGGAAGGAAGGAAGGAAGGAAGGAAGGAAGGAAGGAAGGAAGGAAGGAAGGAAAACATTTTGTCATACCGTGTCCCTAAAATGTGCTCTGGTGCAGCAATAGGGTGCACACCTTAGATTTGCCAGCCAGGTACATAAAAGTGAACTGGTAGAATGCTAGTAGAATTCACCAGATCTGAACACACACAAGCCTGCCCAGTCAGTCTTGAGATTCTGGAGCTGTTTCTACGGGGCCCCCATGCTGCTTCGGAATCTTCCCTCCTCGTCACTTACCTGGCTCTGCTGTGAGGCTGCGGTTCTACCCACTCTGTCTGTTCCCAAGGGGGAGGAGTACCGTGAGGGAGGAAGGAGGAGTGTTTCTTCCCCTTTTCCCCCCCAGAGTCAGGTCCTGTGGGTGCAAGCTCAGAATTGAGAGCTCTTGCTCGCCCTGCACTCCCTGCCTGTGCCCCCTCTCCCTCTGCCTTGGAGAGATGGCATTTTGATTTTGATTCTGCCAGAAGAATTGGGCCAGAGAGGTGCACAGGCCTTGCAGGAGGGCCCGAAGCAAGTGAGCGTTACGTCAGTGTGTGTTTGTAGGGTCGCCTTAGCCCTGGGGGATCTCAGGTCTGTTTCCAGGCACAGATTTCAGTTTTGTGTTACCTCAAACAAATGAGCCACGGACACGTGTTCTGGCTACGTACAGGCTTAGTCTCAGTGCTAGAGAAGTATGGGAGGGCTGTGGACCCGCTGATCTCTAGGGACCAGCTGGACAGGGGCCTGCGCAAGGCCACTGCTCCCATCCTGTCCCCTGGGAGATAAGAGCTTTTCTTCCTTCCTAACCGAGTGTGAGTGTCTGAACAAGCAAGGAAACAAGGCGGGGGAGGGGGGGTGCGGATGCCATCGCTTCCTTCATCCTTGTCTTCATCGTTTCTACTGCGCTGTCCGACTGGACACAATGTCCACTGTACTCCAGAGCAGCAGAGCTGATTGAAGACCAGTGGCTTTGAGAGAATGCGCAAGCTAGGGAGGCCCTGAGTGGCCGGTACACCTAGAATAACATCTAACTAAGTGCAGCCGTCACTCAATGAGGCTTTGGGGAGGTGGCTTGAGAACTTTCTGGATGCTGCTTTGGATAGGGCCTCGCCTTCAGGCCCTTGAGGATCTGATGCGATGCCCCTGGAAGGTGCTCAGCCAGGTGTCTGACACGAAGGTGGAAGGAACCAGATCTAACCCAAAAGCTGTATGATGCCTCCTGTGCTCCCAGCCTGGTTCTGAAAGCAAAACTTGTCCCCTGCCTGCAACAGACAGACCTTGACTCTGAGAGCAAAGGCCGTGCACCCTGAGTGGAGCCCAGGAGCAGAGGCAGGCCTGGTGGACCCTTAAGGAACTAGAGTAGGTGGAAAGAGAGGTTTGGCAAGAGGAGGTACGAGAGCATCTGCCGGCCAGGTGGGCAGGCCCTGAGCAAATTTCTCTCTGCCTGTGTTCCAGGTGTGACTGTGTCCCTGGTTACAGTGGGAAGCTGTGCGAGACAGACAATGACGACTGTGCAGCCCACAAGTGCCGCCACGGAGCCCAGTGTGTGGATGCAGTCAATGGCTACACATGCATCTGCCCCCAGGGCTTCAGGTATGGCAGAGGAGCATCTCAGAAGGAAGGTAGCCTGGACTAGATGGCAGGAGGAGGCAGGGATGCAGGCCTCCCTGCAGCTAACCAGGGCAACTTCATGTAGAAGTTAGACTTGAGTCCACGCTCACATTGTCGCACATGCATGATTCTACCTAATGGAAGATGTCACCACCTTGGAGCCCAGCTTGTGGGGTGGCTGGAAACCAAAAACACTTATGGCATCTTAATGGCAGAAAAAGGCATGAGGGCTGAGGATGTAGCTCATTGCTTATCGTGCATACTCATATGCCCAGGTTCAGTCCCTAGCACCAAATAATAAAAGACAATGAAAAAACGGAGGTAATTCAGTAGAGTATTTGGGGTCAGTCTCTGGAATTGGAGCAAGAAGAAACGTCAGGTAAGAGGCATTGGTCAGATGGTTAGATGTCTGGGGTATGTAGAAAAAGCAGCCTGAGCTCCAAGTCCCCCTCAACCTGGACTGGAAGAGTTAGGCATGGGTTTACAGGAAACTGGGGGAGCAGGGACTGTAATCAGACTGAAATCAGATTGGATAGCATGAATATAAAATATGCAGATTAACTTTGACATAGACTCCAAGATAGTGAGCCAAGAAGGCAGCTGTGGGTTCTCCCCAGCCCTCATCTGAACCTAGGGGACAGTTCAACAGTGTTAAGAATAGTCACATTGGCTCGACAGTTAATAGCACTCGCTGCTCTTACAGAGGACCCAAGTTCGGTTCCCAGCACCCACATCAGGCAATTATAACCACATATATCTCCAGCTCTGGAAGGATCCAACCCCTCTGGCCTCTGTGGGCACAGGCACTCACATACACATATGCACTCATAGACCACACACATAATTCAAAATTAACTTGTTTAAAAATCCTTTTTTAATAGAATATTCACACGTCTCCATCTCCAGAGCTCTTCATACCTTGCGAAATTCCAACCCCAACACCATCAACAACTCCGCATTCCCTCTCTGTAACACTGACAACCTCACTCTCCATTTGTCTCTGGGAACCCGGCTATTTGAATAGTCAGATGGTGCTGGCCTTTGTGGATAGTTCCTTTCACTTAGCACGGTGCTCTCAAGACCCATCCATGTTGTTGTAGGTGTCAGAACACCATTCTTTGTAAGGCAGAATTTCCCTGCTGGCTGGCTATGCCATACTCTGTTAATTCACGTGTGCATGAGCACACACACACTTGTAGATCTCAAAGGACAACCTGAGAGTCAGTCAGTTCTCTCTTCTACCATGGGTCCCAGGAATCAAACTCAGGTCATCAAGCTTAGCAGCAAGCACCTTTACCCACTGAGCTGGGTTGTTTGCCTGCATTGACTCAGCTTTTTAAAAAAGAGAAAGATTAAAACTTAAAGGACTCGCTTCAGTTAGAGGCAAGAATGGAACTTCCCACTATACCTTTTTCTTAATTAATAACTCTGGTTGTCTCCTCTCTCCCATGCCTTCTTTCCAGTGGTCTCTTCTGTGAGCATCCCCCACCCATGGTTCTGCTACAGACCAGCCCCTGTGACCAGTATGAGTGCCAGAACGGGGCACAGTGCATTGTGGTGCAACAGGAGCCCACTTGCCGCTGTCCCCCAGGCTTTGCTGGGCCCAGGTGTGAGAAGCTCATCACTGTGAACTTCGTAGGCAAGGACTCCTATGTGGAACTGGCCTCTGCCAAGGTCCGGCCTCAGGCCAACATCTCATTGCAGGTATGCTCTTCCCTTCCCAACTACCATCCTTGGAAGGACCTGAGTGTGGCACCCCTCAAGGGTACAGCTGGGGTTTCCCAGACCATTAGCAAGCCTGCCTCTTCTCCCAGAACATCAAGGACAGTGCTCAGCTTTTCAGGGGCTGGGTCAACCCAGAGTGGTCCGTAAGAAACCTCCTGGTGAGTCTCACAGCATGCATCAGCTCCTTGCTGTCTCACTCACCCATTCCTTAAAGATCACTCCTGCAGCTCTCCTGTGCTGGACAGTGGGGACCGGGTGGTATGGAGGGCAGAGCAGCCAGGATGACAACAAAGGAGATGACAAGAGAGGATGGGTGCTAAGGGAGCACAGAGCACGTGCTCCTGGCCTCTAGGGAGGAATCAGAGAAGGCTGTCTAGAGGCAGGAAGAGCTAAGTGGAGATCTGAAGCATATGTAGCACTTGGCCTAAGTTCTAGGGAGAGGGATAAGAGAGTGGGGTGACTGAGTAAAGAACAAAGGCTGGGGAGGAGCTAGCTGAGAGAGCTGCATTTGCAAAGCCCTGGAGGCACAAGCAAGCACAAGGCACAAGGACACACTGAGGGAATGGAAAAGTGTTTAGTATGAACCAAGTTGCTTTCTCAGCACCGTACGTAGCCCCAGGGATGCACCTGGACAATGCGAGCCAACTAGTAGCCCAGGAGCTGCTGGGCGCTGCTGGGCATGAGCTCTACATCCTTAGCCAAGGTTCAGTCTGGAGCTTCCAAATGTAACGCTCATTCAGTAAGGATCTCTTGAGCACCTATCCCCAGCAGCAGACTCTGCTCCAGACCGCAGGGCTGAAGGGTACCCAAGAAGATACTCTCCCTGCAGAGCCTGACCGGTAGACAGGACCGTACCATTGGCATCGATGCTAGGATAAATAAGAAGCCCTCACTTCCCCCACCCTCCTGCGTCCTTCCTTCATTCCTCCCCACCAGACCAGCCTCCAGTGCTCCAGACGTCCAAATTCGCTATCAGATGGACCTGCTGAACATCCACTCCTGTGGAGACTCACCCAGCAGCCAGCTGGCCAGCCAGGGCAGCTTCTCCTGAAGCCTGGCTTCCAGCCTCAGCAGCACCTAGAATCGTCTGCAGAGCTTTTAAACTTACGTTTGCCCACAAAGGCTCATGCTGACTTGCTCAGGGGTGAAGCCCAGACAGTGGTATTTATTGTTAGCTGCCCCAGACAGCCCTGAAGACATTGTTTGCCTCCTAGGCTACACTGAGTTAAGCTCTGGTCTTCAGCCTTTGTTTACAACTGTTAGTCTATGTTTCATGCAGAGACAGGCTTCCTCAGGGGCCGGTACTTGGTTGGATCGCATTGTATACTAGTAGGAGAGACACCGTAGAGTTGGGGCCTCCTGATCTGCATAGTTACAACCAGCCCAGGTTCCACCCCAGCACACTCAACCAGCCACAGATCAAAAACATCTTAAAGAACATTGCCACTCTCTTGAACATGTATGGGCACACTTAGCTCCTGCCTGGTATGTCCAGCCCACAGCCCTCAGGCTGTGTGTAGCCAAGGATAATGATGAGTAAGAGCCAGACAAAATAAGAAAGTTCCTTAAAACGTTATGAGATTTTTTATTTGTGAATTTTTTTAAGAAGTCTACTGCACAGTTCCCTGGCGTGAATTTACAGATGACAGGGTTACAACCTCAAAAGGTTGGGCGTAATGGTAACCACTACATATGCATTACAGCTTTTACCATAGCATTTCCCCTGTGTCAGGTAGTGTCATCATCTAGAGAGAGGGTGGAAATCACATGGGAGGAGTGCGTGGATTCGATGCAGACAGATGTCCTTTCATATGAGGGACTTGAGCATCCGCGATGTGTGGCCCTGATGTCGTGGCACATAGTACATGCTCAATTCATACTTGTTGAGACCATTTGCTCTGCTAGCATTTGCACTATAAGCTTAAGTCTTGCCCTTCTGGAATAGACAGGCCAGATGGGGAAAGAGATCTGGATTTGAATTCCAGTCTGGTCCAGACTCTGAGACAGCCACCTGGAGAGGGTGCTGGGAGTGGGTCACGAGAGGTTGGCACTTGGGTAAGTCCTAACCCACACACCCTGGTTGCTCTCCCCAGGTGGCCACTGACAAGGACAACGGCATCCTTCTTTACAAGGGAGACAATGACCCCTTGGCACTGGAGCTGTACCAGGGCCATGTGAGGCTGGTGTATGACAGCCTGAGCTCCCCTCCAACCACGGTGTACAGGTAAAAACCCCCCTCTCAGCCACAGAATGTGTTCTTACGGAGTAGACGCCAGGTGACACTGGGGCCTCCTGCCCCACACAGACACGCTTCTCCCGGACTGGCAGGTGGGAGGGAGAAAAATGCTGTCGGAGGAGGCACAAGCAGGAACGGAAGGCAGGCCCATGTGCGGAGATGACACCTCATTACCATAAGATAAATGGCCAGCTGGTTGCTGAGCATGGAGCCAGGTGCTCCAATGGAGATGAGGCTGCTTAATGAGGTGCCCTTTTCAAAATGTCATCCTAATCTTTTATTAGTTTAAGAAAGAAAGCAGGGCGATTAGCATGCAATTCAAGAAGAGGAAATTCAAGAGCACCCAGGGAACAGGACTGTGCTCAGGTGACTTTCAAAGTGTTCTGAAAGACAGTGTTTCCTAAACTTTAAGTCTTCCTAACAGTCGCCCTGTAGGTTGGGCAGCTTGCTATAGCTGTAACAAAATGCCAGAGATGGCCAACTTACAAAGAGGGAAGGTTTCTCTTGGCTCACGGTTTTAGAGATTTCAGTCTGTGGCCATTTGGCTTCACCACTTTGACTCTCTCATCATGGTGGGAAGCAAGTATTGGAACCAGCTGCTCACCTCAGGTGACCAGCTGCAAAGCAAAGAGAGAAGAGGGGGCCAGAGTCCTGTCATTCCCTTCAGGCTGTGCCCCTCAGTGAGCAGAGGACTTCCCACATAGGCCCTACTTCTTGAAGGTTCCACCGCCTCCCAGGAGCACCACAGACTCTGGACCAGGCCTTCAACACACAAGCCTTTGGGGGACACCTTAGCTGACTGCACCCCCCTGCTTTCTACATGGCTGCTGTGTAACGGTTCCCTCGTGTGCCCCCTTCAGCCCACACTCAGCCTGCTCACGCCCTTCAGCATAAGTGACGTCTCACACAGAGACGCCCATTCACGCTAAATGTTTTCTACCCTTTAGTAAAGGACAGAGTGAGCGTGCCTCATCTGAAATAATTCTCGAGAATCAGAAACTTTACGGTACTGAAAAGTTTTCCATTTTTAGAGCATTTTAGATGGAGGACAGTCTGTCTGTAAGCCATATACAAATAACCTGAACTCTGATCCTGATCACTTCAGCTAATGGACACTCAAACCTCTACCAAATCATGATTAAAACTGAAAGGTAGTTATATTTTATGGTTGTTTTTAAATAACCACTAGAGCTTTCAGTGCCTGTCTGTGTTACCCCCGAGTCACGGAAAACCAGGAGTGGAAGGAGCCAAACTCAGGGAGACCGCACACAGAAGAGGCCACGCCCCCCTGGGGACTTATGCGCCTCTCCGATTAACTAAATCTTTTCTTCAGCTGAAACTTTGTGTTGAACTGAAGACTATTAATACATAGAGGTAGAACTGCCTGGCAGAGCTGGGAGGCACAGGCTGGTGATTCTCCTCTAGCACACCCAGTTTGAAAACCCTTGGTTAAAGGCAGTGGTGTGAGCTGGTCATGGTAGTGAACGCCTTTAATTCCAGCACTCCTGGGGCCAAAGAGTGTGTGCGGATCTCTGCGAGTTCAGGGCCAGCCTGGTCTACATAGTGAGTTCCAGGACAGCAAGGGGCTACCCTGCCTCAAAAAAAACTAAATAAACAAACAGCAGTTTGGACTGGAGGGCGTAGCTCAGTAGAAGGGTGTTTATCCAACATGCAGCCCCTGAGTTTAGTCTTCATATCACACACACACACACACACACACACACACACACACACACACACACACACACGGTGGAGTGGGAGATGAAGGAGAAAGAGCAAAGGAGAAGGAAACAGTGATTCTCAGAGCAGACTGTGGTCCCTGAGTTGGGGACCACAACACCTACCGACATGGTAAAAAGACAGAAATACACATCTTCAGTCCTTACCCCGGAAGTAATAAATCTGAAGCTGCCAGGGAGGAAATAGCAAATCCATGTTTAAGGAATCTTTCGGGTGACTCTCCTGAATAAAAAAGAAAAAAAAAATTTGAAACAAGATCCTACTGTGTCATCCCATATGGCCTGAAACTCACTGTGTAGGCCAGGCTAGCCTCAAACTCCCAGAGACCTGCCTGCCTCTGCCTCCAGAGCACTGGGATGCAAGGTGTGTGCACCACCACATCCAGACCGATGCATAGATTTCAGAAGCAGAGGTTAATATGTGAAAAGTCCCTGGAGAAGGAGCCGTTTGAGGTGGATCACGAAGGGAGAAACTTGTGTGTGCAAAGAAGACAGGTAGGTGGACTAGGTTGGGACAGCAGCAAAACCAGAGACAGTGGCCAGGGCACCGGCCGGAGCAGAAGTCTCCCAGTGGAGGATGAAGAGAGACGAGACCAGCCTCGGGCAGTAGGACAGCAGACACTGGGTCTCCCAACATCTTTGTTTCTGAAACTGGTGACCCTGGACCAAGTGGGAAGGACAGAGAGTAGGGAAACAGACCAACCATATGCCTGAGAGAAAGCACTTGGTGTCACTTAGGAGGTAAAGAAGTGGTGTCTTCTCCTTCCCTGGCTGTCTGCCTGTGACACTGATGGGTAATTTTCTAGGGTGCTGGTGAGTGTAAAACAGGACTTGGCAAATGAGCGGTGATGTGGACGATACAGGACGGGAGGCTAAAAATAGGCTTCCAGGAGCAGCTGGGCTCTGTGCAGAGTGAGGAGCCTTCCAGAAACACTATGCCAAGTAGGAGACCATTGCTGACTTCTAAAGTTGCCACTAGGGAGGTGTATGAGTTTGTCAAGTCCACTAGGGAGATGGCATGCCCTTGGAAAGAACCGAATGATGGGCATCCAGGCAGATGACTTGGATTCTCATGCCAACCCTGGTGGCAGCATGTCACTGCCCTTCCGCTCATAATCTTAAGGGGCCCCAAGCTCCAGAAATCCCACATAAAAAGTGATTTTATGGGGCAGTTAATGTATGTTTATGTGCACATCATCCACATAGTCTAAAGGCAGTTTTAGAGAACACACAATATTTTTAATAATACATGTTTTGATTGCAACCCATCACATGAGGTCATGTGTGGAATTTTCCACTTGGGACATCATGTTAGTGCTCAATTTTTTTCATGTTCTTGGAGTCTTTTTGATTTTCAGATATAGGAATGATCAACCTGTAGTGTTCTCTCTCACTCACTGACTTGGTAAACACCTATCAGGCACCTGGGCCAAGTGTAGGGGACACAAGATCAAACATCCCACACGAAGGAGACACACATATTGACCACTGGTGGCTATACAGGCAGAATCTAACAGGCCTCCCTGGAGGCTTCCCAGCCTTCTGTGGGGACACTTCCGAAGAAGGAATAAATGTTCCTGCTTGGAAGATAAGGGAGGACTCCCCGGGGAAGGAGGTCTAACTTAACACTAAGGGGCATTTGATACCCTCTGTGAATGCTGTGCTGGCAGAGGCTGGAATTCACGACTAATACTCTGTGAGCTGCCAGGAGCCAAGGGGACAGGAGGCCATTCCTCAGCGCCACTGCTGTGATTTCTTGGCCACCTGGAGGCTATGTCAGCCTTGAATGAAAGCCAAGAAGCCAAACCAAAGCTGGCCTATCAGAGGAGTTGGCAGCCTACAAATGTCTGTCCCCTAAAGTTCTCATAAACAAGCCTCAAGGAAAGGTGAGCTGCCAGGGCCCCTGCAGACTTCGCTGTCCCGGAGCAGGTGGATTCCAAGACCTCCCTTCTGCCCATCCCTGATTCCGCTCAGGTCCCCAGCAGTCAGGAGAAGTGAAGGAGTATGTCAAGATTCTACCGTAGGCCACAGCGCAGACACACACAAACCCATCTTGGGCTTTCCTAACCCAGGATAGGCCAGGCCTTCAGTATGGAGACTTGCTATAAGACTCTTCTGAATCCCAGCACTCGGGAGGCAGAGACAGGTGGATCTCTATGAGTTCGAGGCCAGTCTGGGCTATAGAGCTAGTCCAGGACAGGCTCCAAAAGCTACAGAGAAACCCTGTCTCGAAAAACCAAAAAAAAAAAAAAAAAAAAAAAAAGACTCTTGTGCCCTGTGGCCTGTGGGAAGGGGAAGCTAGCTGGAACTCCTGTGGGCATCATTTTGAGGTAGAAGCTATAGATTATCAAGATAAACTGGATATTCAGGATTTGGGAGTGGGGCGTGTCTTGGGTTTTTGCTTTGTTTTGTTTTAAGTCTTGCCATTCAGAACTCCATGCACGAGTCAGCTCTGCCAGGCCAAGCGCATACCCTCACAGTTTGCATTACCACCAGCCCATTCACTACCTAGGTCTTCGCCCCATTTGATCCTGAACCAGTGAACATCATCACTCCTGTTTGATGAGAAGCCTGATTGCGTAAAGGAAGCCCCAGGATGGGAAGAGCTTGGCCCTAGACACGGGTCAGGTTTCCATTAAACCCATCCTCCGAGCTTGGCCTTAGACACGGGTCGGGTTTCCATTAAACCCCACCTTCCCACTGTGGTGGCTGCAGGCCATAGTACTAGGGCGCAGGAGTCGGTTGCTAGAGTGGGCTCTGTAGACCCAGACTGCTTGCCTAAAGAAATCGCAAGGCTTTGTTCCTGCAGGGCTCTGCCGCCACCTATTGGTCACTTTTGGCATCCAAGAGAAATGACCACCTTATAATCTTTTGTACAGTGGCCTAGAGTCCCACAGCTGGGCAATACTGACCTAAGTCCTAACTCCACTATTTCCACTGGAGACTTTTCATGGGGCACCTAGGCGATGTCTCCTGTCCCCAAACGAGGAAAGATGTGCCTCCTGCCTGTGGGCTTGTTAGTGGTAAATGAAGGTTTTCAGCTCCTGCCCTTAGTCCATAGCCCACCCGCTGCCACTATTAAAAGCAAAAGAGAGGGTCAACGCATTTGGTGCTCTTTCAGAAGACCCAGATTCGGTTCCCAGCACCCATATCATACGGTTCACAACCACCTGTAACTCTAGTTCTAGTACAGACCATTGTTCTAGGAGATCAAGCATCTTCTTCTGGCTTCTGAAAGCTCCAGGCATGCACGTGGCACACATACACACATTCAGGCACTCACATGTACACATAAAATATAGGTACATCTTTAACCACAGAAGAGAACTCCATGGGCCCCTCTGGCAATGCCTGCAGCTATGGCAGCCCTAGACAGGCTCCCTGCAGCCCGGCTCCAGGGACTCCAATACTGCCGCCACTTGTGTCTGACCCCAGTGGACAGTAAGGAAGACTCTCCCCTGAAATCCCTAACGATCTCTCCAGGAGCCTAATCACCCAGGCTTGCCAATGCAGCATGGCCATGTCTCTTAGAGCAAACAGAAGGTTAGGTTTGGTTAGGTTTGGTTTTGACTTTTATCCTCTGTTGTGGTTGTGGTTGTTGTTGTTGTTGTTGTTGTTGTTGTTGTTTTGTTGTTAGCAGTATAGCAGTGCTCTCTGCTGATGTGTTGATTGGAAGACCAGTGTTTCCAACTTTGCTAAGATCTTTGTGTGCATATGTGGTTAAGAGAGCAGGCATGTACATGCCATGGCATGCTTTGTGGAGGTCAGAGGACGACCCCCTGAGTCAGTCTTCCCCATTGTTGGATACTGGTTCTCTTGTTTATTGCTGTGCATGCCAGGCTGGCTGATGTGTGAACTCTGGGGGATTCTCTTGTCCCCGCCTCCCATGTCCCTGTAGCTCTGAAGTTATGGATGCACACTACTGTATCTGGCTTTATGGGAGGTTTAAGGATCCAAACTCAGGTCTTCACTGTTATACAGCAAGCTCGCTGCCCACTGAGTCATCTCTCTGGCCCCTACAACACTCCCCCCTCCCAAGACAAGGTTTCTCTGTGTAGTTTTGGTGCCTGTCCTGGATCTCGCTCCGTAGACCAGGCTGGACTCGAACTCATAGAGACTTGCCTTGCTCTGCCTCCTGAGTACTGGGATTAAAGGCATGTGTCACCACCGCATGGCTTCTACAACACTTTTTTAAAGGTGTGCAGGTCAAGCAGATGAAGCTGTCCATGCAGCCAGGGGAGCCCAGCACTGCCCGGGGCAGAGACTTATAACTGCTGCCCTTTTTTACCCCCAAGCTCCTGCAAGCACTGTCTCTAGCCTGGTGGCCCTCAACCATGCTCCAAGCCTCAGCTGGCCCTAGAGAGCTTAGGAAGGGACAAGGAAATGGGCTTAACTGCCAGGAAGGAGCCAACAGTGTTCCTCGCTGTGCCTGAGAACATCCAGAACAGGAAAATAGCTACCCAGACTCCTTGACCCTTACTTGGTTCTAGAAGGAAAGGAAGAAACAACCACATACTGCTACCCTGACTTCACGGCTGCCTCTGACAGAGGCCGCCCAACACACACCCAAGCATGAGTCTGCTTGCTAGCCTTTGGATCCCTAATGTCTTCTAAAGGCCTGAGTGCTGAAGGCTTGGCCTCCAGGCTGTGGTGCTATTAGGAAGTGGAGCATTGGAAGAGGAAGTGAGGTCACTAGGTGGGGGTTCCCCTAAAGGGAACATCGGGACCCAGCCCCTTCCTCTTTGCTTCCTGGTCGCCAAGAAGTAAAGAGCCCTCAGCCAAAGACTGCCCTAAAAACAGCTACAGACTGCAGCCTTTGAAACTGAGTTCCCAAGTAGCCCCTCCCTCGTCTCAGTTATGGGTCACTGGAGCTCAGTTATCCGGACAGCAGCGGCTCTGGGGTGGTAGGGGACATAGGTGCATGTTTTTGCACATGGTTAGAAAACTGAGGACTCATCCCTCTTTCTCAAACCCTCATGCAAACTTGTCTGCAAGGGGAAAGCCTCTGCCTTACCCTCACTGTGACTCAGAGCATGGAGAGATGCCTCTGACACCTTCATACAGCTTCTCAACTCCTCATCCCTGAACCAGATCCCCCAGAGGACTCTCTCAGCTCCACCCTCATTTTCCTGCTTCTTGGCTAGACCTTATACCTAAAAGCCAGCCGTTTTGATTCAGAGGAAATGTTATGGAGGGCAGAGTGTGAGCTTCGTGATTTGCTACTGGTCCCCAGCACCTAAGACAGTGTATCCGAGAGCATCAGTGGAAGCATGGATGGATGGATGGATGGATGGATGGATGGATGGATGATGGATGGGTGAGTGGGTGGGTGGATGGATGGGTGGGTGGGTGGGTGGGTGGATGGGTGGATGGATGGATGGATGGACAAGTGGATGGATGGGTGGGTGGGTGGGTGGATGTATGGGTGGGTGGATGGACAGACAGGTATGACATGTGGATGGAGAGGAAGGAGTAAGAGTGGGCAGGTTCATGGGAAGGAGAAAAGGAGGGAGAGTTGGATAGGTGGACCAATGGCATGAAAGGCTTTTTTGGAGGACTTGGGTTGGTCCCAGGCTCCTGCATGTTCCCCTCTTATCATCAATTTCTCCCAGAGTCAGAGCTACAGTAGGGATCGCCAGGGTGCGGGCTGTGGTGGGTTCTTGTTAATGGTGTGTGTGTGTGTGTGTGTGTGTGTGTGTGCGCGTGCGCGCGCGCACATGCACGTGGAGGCCAGAGAAGATCCCTGGTACCGTTCCTGGGGTGCTGTCCACCTTCTTTTGAGACACAGTCTCTCACCGGTCTGGAACTGATGCCCGGGTGCTGGGATGGCTAGTGTACAGCACCGTGCCTGGCTTTTTCTGTGGGTTCCAGGGACCTAACTCAGTGCTTTCAAGACTAGCACTTCACTGGTCACCCCTGCACCCCCATTAATAGTATAAATATCACCAATAACTGCTCACATCCTCCCAGCAGTTTGATCACTCTATGACTCTGGCAGGTTACTCTCCCCTTTGAGGAGGGCGCGGAGACAGGGGATTCCGTGATGGGCCATTGTCCTGCCCAGCTGTGAGAGGATGAAGAATGACCGCCCTCTCTAGTCCACACAGCCAACCTGCACACTGCCTACCATTTCCCTCGCCTCTTAGGAAACGCCACAGTCATTGAAACTGTCCCTGCTGCCTGTAAAATCAGTGGGGGTCCCAAGGAGACTTCAAGGAGAGCGAGACTCTCCTGTCTGCCACCCACCCCTGACCTGTAGAGACAGATCTACCAGCTCCGCAGTGAGCCCCGTTCTTCACATCTCCAAGCCTGACACCTCCCGTTGTTCCCTCCCAGCCCTTGCCAAGGATATCCTGCTGGGAGGAGCAGGACTTTGGAATCAAAGGTCTTGCCTATAAACACTATCTCTGGCATGTATCAGCTGGATGACCTCAAACAAGCCTCTTAACCTCTCTGGTACTCAGTGTCTTTATCTGGTGCCCACGTCATAGAATTATCACAGAAGTGAGTGATGTAGCACTCTACACAGGCCATCCTAAGTCCCTGCTCTGTCACATATTAGCTGGGGGAGGGGAGGAAACAGTTCCGTTTCCCTAAGCTTTCAAGTCTAGAGTTCTGGAATGAGGAAAGACTCACTTGGCATAGTATGAGACGCTCTGTCCTCACATGTGGCGTGCTCAGAACTGGTGGATATACGACGGGTTTAGATGGGATGATGATAAAGTACTGAAACCTTAACCAAGAGAATTTGTTTCATTCATGCTAGGAGGAAAAAAAAATCACATCATACTAAAACATTTTCTCCCAGATGTTTCCTAGAGCAAAGCTAACTCCTCAGTGAGGTTGACAGAAGAAACGGGGCTTTTGAGGGGACTATATCTTCAGTGAGCAAGTGTCCAGGTGGTGTGCGGGTAGAGCCAACCTGAGAGGGCAGGCTAGGGATGGCTTGCCCACTCTGTGAAAAGACCAGGGCAGGAACTGAGCAGCAGGCATCTGCTGTGCCATTAGGCTGGGGGTGGGGGGGAGCGGAAACCCGCTACAAGGACTGTCGCTGGGGCCACTGCACGTCTGAACATACAAAGAGTGGGCATGGACGTTAACTGCCCACACAGGACGCTGCGTATGTGAGAAAGCAGCTCTGTCCTCAGGAGACACACCTGAGGGATCCAGAGGTCAAGGGTCATGGCATGCATGTGTCTTACCCTTACATCGCTCAGAAAAAGCGTGGCAGTGGGGGCCAGATGGAAGTAATCGGAGAGCCTGGGCAGAAAGGTATTTTCCGTTTTTATTTTTGCAACTTCTGTAATTCGCGGCCATTTCCAAATGGAAGCTGGAGCAGAATGCAGGAGCCGTCCACACTGCAGCCCCATGCCTGGCCGTGGAACGTGCTTCACCTCTGGCTCTCCCTTTCTCTCCTGTCCAGTGTGGAGACGGTGAACGATGGTCAGTTTCACAGTGTGGAGCTGGTGATGCTAAACCAGACCTTGAACCTGGTGGTAGACAAAGGAGCCCCCAAGAGCCTGGGGAAGCTCCAGAAGCAGCCGGCAGTGGGCATCAACAGCCCCCTCTATCTTGGAGGTAACACCCCCCCCATCATTACCCCGCCCCTTCCTCCTTTCTGGCTTTCTGCTTCTGCACTGACACCCAGACCTGATGCCAGGGGTCTCCCTGATGTCTTCTTGGCACCTGTTGTCCAAGTCAGTCAGGGGAGACTTCCTGGGGGAGGTGATTACAAAACCGGTTGCTGAAAGAGTGGCCAGGCACTAGCCCAGCCATGGGGAACAGACTCTGGACAGATGTCTATAAAGGAAAAAGGGTGGGCCTCTGTGGGAATAGCAGGTGTGCAGGGAGGGGAGGAGAGCTAAGAAGGATCAGATGGAAGGGCGCCCAGGCTCTGCTGCAGTTTGCAAGCTTCGAGGCAGTACCCTCTGCCCTACCACCTCTTGGACATGACAAGAAGCACCACACTGAGGTCAAGATTGTACAAAGGCCAAAATGGCGAACCACCACCAGCTGCCTAGACCAGAAATGAAGCCCCTAGGCTGGTGGGTCTTGAAGAATTATATGTAGAAAAGAAAAACTAATGTCAGAGCAGGGGGTTCGGATTAGGACTCAGTGATAGAGTGTTTCCCTAGTGTGAACAAGCGACACCCTGGGTTGTACCCCCAGAGGCGCATGTGTTCACACAGCCACCAAAGCAGTTTGTTCAAATGCAGACTCCTAAGGTTTCAGCCCAGGTGTCCCCTGCCGAGGGCTGGCATGCACCCAGGGACTTGCACTTAGAACAGGCCATCCAGATGCAGGGGACACAGAGTGCTCCTGGTCCAGACTCATCTCAGGACACAGATTCTCCACAAGGAAGAGTGTCGCTTCCCTCCCCTGAGCCTGCTCCGCTGTGGCCACAACAAAACTGTTTTTTGCAGCCAACATGGGGTCTGGATAGGAATTAGCATGGAAGGAGGAGAGTGAGAGCTTTGTTTTATTTTATTCTTGAGACAGGGTCTCATATAGCCCAGGCTGGCCTCAGACTTCATCTGTAGCCAAGGATAACCTTGAACTTCTAATACTCCTGCCTCTACCTACTGAGTGCTGGGATGGCAGGCATGTGCCGCCATGCCCAGTATTTGCAGTGCTGGGGATTGAACCCGGGGTTGTGTATATGCTAAGCATTCACACAGTTAAGCCATGGGCCCGACAGTAAGAGAAGAGAGAAAACACAGACCAGATGTCACTGAAAACGAAGTCAGGCCTTTACCAGTAGTCTGCTAAAGGCCCCAAGAGAGACGTCAGCATAGCACAAAGGATAGCAAATAGCCTGGAAACCTTGAACCCCAGACTTTCACTGATGCAAGCTGCTCCCCCAACCACATCTTCTCTCCCAAAACACAGCTCCTTTACTTCGGGCTTTCAAACAGGAACTAGAGCGAGGGGCACCTCAACCTGGTGGGGACAGCAGAGTGGTCTAGTGTTCCTCCACCCAGGCCACACCTAAGGGTGGGAGTAGCTAGAGTTTTATCCAGTCCCACCTGGCCCACGGTCAGGACAAATCTCTCTCACCCGCCAGTCCCGCAGCCGCTCAGACCCAACCGAGTAAACACACAGAGACTGATATTGCTTACAAACTGTATTGCCGTGGCAGGCTTCTTGTTATCTAGTTCTTCTATCTTAAATTAACCCATTTCTAGTAATCTATATCTTGCCACGTGGCTCGTGGCTTACCGGTACTTTACATCCTGCTCCTCGTCGTGGCAGCTGGCAGTGTCTCCCTCACTCCGCCTTCCTGTTCCCCCAATTCTCCTCTCTGCTACTCCCACCTATACTTCCTGCCTGGCTACTGGCCAATCAGCGTTTTATTCATCAATCAATCATAGCAACATATATTTACAGCGTACAGGACATCCCACAGCAGGTGGGCTTCAGCTAAGCCGATGGGACTGTGTGGCAATAGATGACTGGGCCTCTCATTTCTCCTTTGAAAGTTCAAAATACAGACTTCTGTGGGATTTTTTTTCTGAAATTAAATTCTGGTTAGTTGAGTTTTAACAGCACCAGAACACCTACTCGTCCCTGTGAGGATAAGACCTGGTCTCTGACCTGTTAGCTCAGTTTGAACAGCAGAGACCCAGAGCTCTGAATGGTAACTGTGAACATGTGCTGTGTCTGTTCTCACTGTCAAGGCTAAGGGGGTGAGGGGTAGGGCAAGGGAGTATCTTTAGGCTGTCCTGGGCAAGGAAGTACATTCAGGCTGTCCTGGCTTCCTCCCACAGGCATCCCCACCTCCACAGGCCTCTCAGCCTTACGCCAGGGTGCAGACAGGCCGCTGGGCGGCTTCCACGGCTGTATCCACGAGGTGCGCATCAACAACGAATTGCAGGATTTCAAGGCCCTCCCACCTCAGTCCCTGGGGGTCTCTCCTGGCTGCAAGTCCTGCACTGTGTGTCGGCATGGCTTGTGCCGTGCTGTGGAGAAGGACAATGTCGTATGTGAGTGCCACCCAGGATGGACCGGTCCACTGTGTGATCAGGAAGCTCGTGACCCCTGCCTTGGTCACAGGTGAGTGTCCTAAGAGCACTAGGCTCTGAGTTTACAAGTTGCCCTGCCCCACATCTAAGGAATGGGCACTGATGGATGCTGGGGGAATTGTGGGCCTACTGTGGGTAGCACACTGCTTAAAATGCCAAGCAGGGAGGCTCCTTCATCCAAGCAGGAGGCCTGGATTGAAAGCATCAGCGTGAGGGGGGGCTTTCTCAGAATAACTGTCTCTGCCAGGCAGCCCTTAGGACCTGTGAAAGCCACTATAGGATTCTCCACTGCCTCTGTGTGACCAGAAGAGAGGAATTCCAAAAAATAAAGAAATAATAAATAAATAAAATAAAAAAAGAGAGGAATTCCAGTGTCTGCATAACAGTACACATCTGAATCACATTTAATGGTTCGGTCATTCATTATTCATTCAACACAGGATTATTGAGGGCCTACTGTGTGCAGGGCCTTGTATTTGATGCAAGAGACCCAGTATTCCTAGAAACTGCAATCGGCAAAATAGAATCCTAGACTCAAGAGTGGTAATCTGGCTGGCTGAACAAGTTGGGAAATAACAGTCTTGATCAAGAAGGAAGGAGCTCTGTAGAGGCCTAAACTTCCTGTTTCTCTTGATGTACATGCCTGGCCCTGAATCCTGACTCCAATGTCATCAGTAGGCCCAGTGATGTTTCATGGTCAAAAATGCGGGCTTTGTGAGCTGGAGAGGTGACTTAGCAGGTAAACTGAGTTCAGTCCCCAGGACCCACACAATAGAAGGCAAGAACCAACTCCCACAAGTTGTCCCCTGACCTCCACAACCAAGTTGTGGCATGTGCACACACACACAGAAATAAAGAGATAGATAAGTAAATCAAAGTAATATTTTAAAAAGAAAGAGCCAGGAGCTAGAGCGATGGCTCAGTGGTTAAGAACACTGGCTGTTCTTCCAACGGACCCAGGTTCAATTTCCAGAACCCACATGACCGCTCACAACCATCTGTAACTCCAGTTCCAGGGAATCCCACACTGGTTTCTGGCCTTTGTGGACACTAGGCACACACATGATGCACATGTACACATGCAGGCAAAATACCCACATCCAGAAAAATACATAAATCTCTTTAAGTTGTTGAAGAAAAATAAAAGAAAGAGATGACTTAGTAGTTAAGAGCACTTGTGCCGGGTGGTGGTGGCGCACGCCTTTAATCCCAGCACTCGGAAGGCAGAGGCAGGCGGATCTCTGTGAGTTCAAAGCCAGCCTGGACTACAGAGTGAGTTCCAGGAAAGGTGCAAAGCTACACAGAGAAACCCTGTCTCGAAAAGAAAAAAAAAGAGCACTTGCTGCTTTTGCAGATGACCTGGGTTCAGTCCCCAGCACCCACATGGCGACTCACAACTTACATCCAGTTCCAGAGGATCCAGTGCCCTCTTCTGCTGCACACAGGCACATACATGGTGCACATAGATATGTGCAGGTAGAACTATCATACACATAAAATAAACAACTCAAAAATATTGTATATTACAAAGTGCAGACTTTGCCGTCCATCCTTCTCTCCGGGAGACGGACTGAAGGCTAGCTGATGAGAGGGGCCGTCCTGGAGTGAGGAATGATGGGACTTACACAGTGCCTGGCACACAGCATGTGCCATCTGCGAGAACAGGTTAAGTGTCTCTTGTCCAAAATGCCGGACACTAGAAATGTTTGACATTTGGGGAATCTTTTCACATTTTGGATTATGAACACATACCAACCAAGCTTATACACAAAGTTCATTTGTATTCCCTAGACCCCTCACACACATGGCCTGATAATTCTGTATGATTTGTTCAGTGCATCTGTATTTTATCAGTGGCCACCAATGGAGGTCAGGTGTAGGATTTTTTCACCTGGACCCCATGCTGATGTTTAAAATGTTTTGGATTTGGGGGTGGTATGAGCGAGGGTTGTTCAACCTGTGGTATTAATAATAGCGTTTGCTCTTAAAATTGAGGGAGGATTAAAATGTTTACAGAGACCAGTGAAATGGTTCAGTGGGTAGAGGAGCTTGCGGCTAACTAAGCCTAGCAACCTGCGTTCAGTCCCCAGGACCCACATGGTAGAAGGAGAACAAATTGTCCCCTGACCTCTACATGTACACCTGCACACCCACATGTGCACTGGTATTCACACACACACACACACACACACACACACAATTAATAAAACACAATATTTAAATTATCTTTGCCGTATGTGGTGATGCATGCCTTTAATCCCAGCACTCGGGAGGCAAAAAGAAGCATATCTCTGTGAGTCTGAGGCCAGCCTGGTCTAGAAAGTGAGTTCCAGGCCAGCCCCAGCTACACAATGAGACCCTGTTTTAAAAAACACAATAATTATTTTTAGTGTTGACAGAAAGCTTCAAGTCTGTTGGGCTGTGGACTGACACTGAAGACTGATGTCTTGATAGGAAAGAGCAAGGAGACTGGCGTCTGTCTGGTCAGAGCTGGCAGTGGATATTCGCCGGGACACGTGGGCTTCCAGCTATGTGGGGTTGGCGTGAGGTGCTTAGATGCTGGACTGAAAGAGAGCCGTACCCAACACAAGGTCCCAGAGCTCTGGGTCGTCTGCCTGGAAGGACAGAGGAAGCCGCCAGCAACACTAACTCTGGTCTCCTCTCCCCTCCGCCCCCAGCTGCAGCCATGGGAAATGTGTGGCGATGGGCAGCACATACATGTGCAAGTGTGCAGAGGGCTACGGAGGAGCCTTGTGTGACCACAAGAATGACTCTGCCAGTGCCTGCTCAGCCTTCAAGTGCCACCACGGGCAATGCCACATCTCAGATCAAGGGGAGCCCTACTGCCTGTGCCAGCCTGGCTTCAGTGGCAACCACTGTGAGCAAGGTGAGTCTACTGTCCTTGTGGGATGGAGGGCCTACGAAAGAAACAGGTCAAAGTCGATGACTTTCCCCAGAGTGAACCATCTGATAGCAAGGAGGACGCCATGCATGGTGTCTTAAGTGACCTAGCCAGAGAAGTAACTTGTACCGCCATTTCCAGAGCATTATATCACTTACCTTGCTAAGGTACATCACTAAAGAAGGCTACTACATAGAGTATGTAGCAGGTGATGGGGTCGTTATGGACACCGACTGGCTGTCATGCTACCTTGCAGGGTTTCTCAGAAGAATATATGCCATGTAAGAGTATGGGGTACCTGAGAATATGCTAAGAGTTGGGGAGCTGAAATATATGACCTAACTTTGTGAAAAATCTAGGTTGGAATTTTTTTGAAAATTTTTTTATTATTTTTTTCCTCTGTGTGTGTATGTGTGTGTGTGTGTGTGTGTGTGTGTGTGTGTGTGTGTGTGTATGAAGGAGAGAGAGAGAGAGAGAGAGAGAGAGAGAGAGAGAGAGAGAGAGAGAGAGAGAGAAATATGAATGTATGCCATGTGAGTGCATTGCCCATGGTGGCCAGAAGAGGGCATCAGATCCCCTGGAACTGGAGTTACAGGTGGTTATGCGCTATCTGGGTTCTGGGAACAGAATTCAAGTTCTCAGATCCTCTAGAAGAGCTATAAGCACTCTGAACTGCTGAACCATCTTTTTGGCCCCAAGTTAGTACTCTTAAAAGTCAAAAGCAACACTGTTGTCATGAACAGAAAAATCTGTGTGTCCTTGAGCAAGACAGTTCTCTCTGGGTTGTAATTCCCCACCCAACATAACTGTGCTGGTTTATTGTAAATACTAAGTAATATTATGGTGGATGAGAATTCAACATTAAGATTCTTGAGTGACAGCCAGGCAGCGGTGGCACACTCCTTTAATCCCAGCACTTGGGAGGCAGAGCCAGGAGGATCTCTGTAAGTTAGAGGCCAGCTTGGTCTACAGAGTGAGATCCAGGACAGGCACCAAAGCTACATTTAGAAATCCTGTCTCAAAAAAAAAAAAAAAAAAAAAAAAAGATTCTTGAGTGATCCTGAGGAGGCTAACAAGCCACCTAGAGTGCCCAGCACAAGCAAAATGGCCCAACAAGAAACAGCAACATTTTTACTATACTGTCTAATGGAGAATGCTTGAGTACAGCAAGGGAGTGGGGAGGCCCTGTGGACTCCAGAACCCCAAGATGGCAGCATACAGAGGGAGGGGAGCACCCTCATGCTACCCCATCTCCTTGATTGGCGTTGACTCAGAGCTAAGAGAGAGTCTCTTTGTAGGCAGAGGTAGGCAGTAGGCTCTTGGCACACCACAGAAACCTGGGCTGGACATCTATAATATTGGCTGCTGGATGGTCCTGCATCCTCTCTGGCTAGGAGCCCAGTGGATGAACTGTCTAGAGTTTACATGGCTGTACTGCTTCAGAGGGGCCCATATCCTGACCTTCACCCTGCCGTGACCCAAGCTTCTAGTGCAAGCCCCCAGAGCTGCTGCTGCTGCTGCTGCTGCTGCTGCTGCTGCTGCAGTGTGTCCCCCTCCAGGGGCAGCAGATGCCACACCTGCCCATCCCAAGGCTTCACCAGCACTCTACCATGCTCACTCGGATGGCTGCAACTCCACACCAGCTCCTTGAGCCCTGACCCAGCAGACTAGCCCATAGCCCATGCCACACCGTGCCCGCCGGGGAGCAACAGGAAGCTGAGCGTGATCAGCAGTTGGGTCTCTAAAAGATCAACAAAATGGACAAATCTTTAGGTAGGCTACAAAAGGCAGAGAGAGGATTCAAAATCAGAGATGACAAAAGAGACATTACAAGAAACTGAATTAGTAATAAGCCTTTCGTCGTCAGGACTGGAGTGATGGCTGAGCAGTTAAGAGCACTTCCTGGCCGGGCGGTGGTGGCGCACGCCTTTAATCCCAGCACTCCCCGGGAGGCAGAGGCAGGTGGATCTTTGTGAGTTCGAGGCCAGCCAGGTCTACAGAGCGAGATCCAGGAAAAGGCGCAAAGCTACACAGAGAAACCCTGTCTCAAAAAACAAACAAACAAAACAAAAAAAAAGAGCACTTCCTGCTCTTCCAGAGGACCCAAGTGTGATTCCTTGAACCCACATCCACCTGAGGCTCACAACTACCTGTAACTCCAGCTACAGGAAATCTGATGGCTACTTATGGCCTCTGTGGGCAAGCATACACATGGTGTAAACACACATATTCATAAATAAAAGATTTTTATCTTTAAAAACAAATCTTCCATCATTAAATGAAAGGGTGCTTAAGTCCTGTAAGTCCTAAACTTGAGAGGAAGGGAATCAGAAATCCAAGCTCATCCAGAGACCAGCCTGAGCTGTGTGAGACCGTGCTGAGGGAGAGATAGACAGAGACACAGAGAGAGACAGAGGGGAAGGGAAAGGGGTGGAAGAGGAAGGAAAAGGAAGGGGAAAAGTCTCCAATCCAAATTCCAGGACCTCATGAGTTCACTAATGCTCTCTACCGTACATTTAAAGAAGCATGATACAATTCTTCCCAAACCAGTTCAGAAAATTGAAGAGCTCCAACTCATTCTCCAACACTGGCATTACCCTCACACCCAGACAGAGAAATGCGTGGGAGAAAGAAGAGGGGAGGGAAAGGGAAGGACATGGTGAATGGGGAAAGCCAAAATCGAAACAGCTAGGAGTCAGTGTCCCCGACAAACACAGAGGCAGAAGTCCTTGGCTTGACACTGTCACTCTGGGGGCTTTTCTTCCACATCCAGGCCACACTCTGTCACTCAGAGACTCTTACATTTCACGTCTGCATGAAACGCCATTAACTAAACCTGTTCATGTTTTAAATCTGAAGTAATTTTAGACTCAGTCATACCAGGATGGCATAAGCACCTCTCCTGTTCCCTTCATCCCAACCGTGAATGTTGCCATCCTTGTGCTCCTACGTTACACACACATGCACACCCACACACCCATCATCACTCTACTCTTTCCGAATCCTTTTAAAGCCCTTTTAAATTTTAAAGGATTTTTTTCAAGTGAATTCAGCGCCTGTGCATCACATTAAAATACAAAACCCTTTAAAAAGCTCTGATGTGTTTTCTTCTTCGGTTGCCTCTGCTGCTCACAAAAGGGTGTGATCAGTGAGGAGAATGGGTGTATGTGTCATGATTTTCCAGGCAGGGAAACTGAGGCACAGGATAACAAGTGATTTGTCATGACCGTGAGGCTGCAGAGTCTGTTCTCCTTCCCCAGTGCCTGCTCCAAATGTCCTGTCCCTGTTGGGAGGAAGTAGGGGCTGGAGGTGAAGAGCAGGGTCAGAGGTGAACATTCCAGCACACACAGGGGTCCTCTTTACTGCTCTTCCATGGTTTCTAGGGCTTCCAGAAACATCCTAGAGGGCCTTTACCTCATTAGCATCTTTTCCACGATCTCATCTCCTGGTCACTTCCCCAGAAGCCTCCTGGCCCCTGGACCAGGTCAACCTACTTTCCCGTGCTCTTGTAGAAACATGTCCCTTAACAGCTTCTGTGTGCCTCGGTTTCTCATTACAAGTAGATCGACTTCAGTGTTGATAGAATTGGTGTCCAGGCTCTAGACCAAGGGAGACAGACTACTGGGAGTGATAGGGCCAGTCTGGACCAACTGGAGCTCCACTGCCCTACCAAAGCTCTGAGCACCCTGCCCACCATGGCAACATGGGGAAGCAAGCTGAGCTCCACAGACCTCCTAGTTTCAAAGAAGCCAGAAATCCAAATTCTCAAGTGAATTCAGATGTTTCCAATGTTAGGATTTAAGCATCTGTATGGTAACAGGATTTAGCCACTGTTTACCAGTTGCCAGTCCTTTGGAGGATGGAGAGGACCAAGGCCACTCCTGCCATCAGAATATCTGAGGGGCATGATTGTCCTTGAGTAGAGCCTGGCATAGTAAAGGCATACCACATTTGGGGAGGAAGGGAGGGAGAGAGGGAAGGAGGGAGGGAGGGACAGAGGGAGGGAGGGGGAGGGAGGGAGGGTAGGTAACTAGGCAGATGAGGAACTAGTAAATAAGTATGTGTATCTTCACATCACAAGTTTCCCCTGACAGCCAACCAGGGAACCACCCAGGGGTCAGGCCACACCCCTTCACCACCAACGCCCCTAACATTACCTCTCTGCCCTCTTCAGAGAATCCATGTTTGGGGGAGATAGTCCGTGAAGCCATCCGCCGTCAGAAAGATTATGCCTCCTGTGCCACGGCCTCCAAGGTGCCCATCATGGAGTGCCGTGGGGGCTGCGGGAGCCAGTGCTGCCAGCCCATCCGCAGCAAGCGGCGGAAATACGTCTTCCAGTGCACGGACGGCTCCTCGTTCGTGGAGGAGGTGGAGAGACACTTGGAATGTGGCTGCCGCACGTGTTCCTGAGCCCCTCTGCCACCTCCCCACCCACCACCTCTCAGACTCCAGCTCGCTGGGCTGGGGACGGCCACAGGGAACCTCTTTGAGATTCAGAATGAAGGAGAAAAAGCTGGAGAGGAAGAGGCAAAAGAGAGAATATTAAGTATATTGTAAAATAAACAAAAAATAGAACTTATTTTTATTATGGAAAGTGACTATTTTCATCTTTTATTATATAAATATATCACACGGTCTGAGTATATGTACTATATAGTGTGTTATTTTTACCGAGTTTTGTTCTGTGTTGTGTATTTGTTGTGTTTTTATAAACAGCTGTTTAAAATTTTAAGACAAAATAAGACTAATAAAAATGTTTTAAACAAAAGGATAAGAATAGAGAAGCAATAGCCTGTCTGAGGCAGGAAGAGGGAATTTTGTGTGCATGCAGCTCTTTCAAGTCAGCAAAACTGAGAGCTCTTTCCTGAGCTGGGGGAAGGGAGAGAGAAGGGAAAATGTCCTTTGTGTCTCTGTGGTCCTTACTCTTCTTTTTCCGTCTTTCTTGCAAGTAGCAAGCTTCTCACAGTTCTGGCTTTCTAAGCCCAATGTGCTTCTTGCTTCCAAAAAGCTGCTGGGCCCTGAAAGCCTTGTGACAGTCAGAGCTGCCCCTTGCCCACCATCTGACCCAGGCCCCTGCTGGGCGTGAGCCCATGGGGAGGCCTGCCTTCTTGGCCAGCCCTGGTCTCCTTGAGGGAGTTGACACTGATTTTGCTGAGCAAGCTGGGTCTGTTCTGCCAAATTTGCAAACAGCTGCTCTTTTCCTGCCCCTCCCCAGGAAGCATGTCCTCTTGAGATGGGACAGGGAAAGAGCGAGCTATAACATCTCCCCAGGCACTGGCCGTCCCTTTCAAGTCTTCCTTCCGGCCAGTTTTATTGGAGTACAATTCCAGAGAGCAGGTACCAGGACTACCCAAGAACAGGACAGGGAGTCATGTCTTCATGGATGCCCAACAGGCAGGCCTCTGGCATCTGGCCCTCTAAGCCACCTTCTCACTGGCTAAGAACAACACCATCCAGCACGTATCTGGAAACCCACTTTATCCAACCCCTACTTGCCTGGTGCAGCGAACCCCATTTCTTAACTGAAGACACCTAGCCCCTCTCAGGCTCCATCACTTGCCTTATGCCATCATCTGGTAAGTGGGGGAGCCTGGCCTGGAGCACAGACTCAACTAGATTCCCTCTAGAATGAGTGGGCACAGGAGACAGGCAGCAAAAAGACCCGTCAACAAAAAGAAAGCAGATGTTTTTCCAGCTGCCTTTTCTCTTTGCTCTGTTTTTGTTCAATTCTCCCTTCTGCCTCATTCGTATCTAGGAAGTTTCTAGAGACAGGGACTCAGACAATAGTAGCAAGCACTGTTGTCCAGCTTCAGAATGTTCCTGAAGGACATTTTGATCTCCCACATCTTTCCCCCACCCTCACTCACCCCCTCACAGCCCTCCTCATTTAGCCCATGTGGACCAGCATCTCAGCTGCTCACACCAACCCCCTGGCTCTGCCCATCCATCCTTTCCCAAGAGCCTCCGATGCTGTGGTCTCGAGGAGAGTGTGGGGACCTTCCTGTTCTGAGGGTCCCCTGAGGAGCTCAGCTACTCTGTGAGGACTGATGGTAGGCCAAAAACTCAAAAGAGTAAAGAAGGGAGAGAGAAAAGAGGAAGTAGAGGAACACAAGGCAAGTCGAAGACAGGGAAAGAGAGTGAAGGAATGTGCTAGAGAAATCACTTTTGAACAAGCATATGAATGTGCATTGTGTTCCAGGGAGTGTGCGTCATGATGGGTGTGTTGAAAATGTTCATAGTTAGATTTAGGCAGTGCTCACTACAATACACTCAGATGTCACTGCAGTTGCGGCCCATGTATTTATTTATTTATATGCATGTATTCACTTAATTCTCAGACAGCTCTATATAAAACCATTACTAACCTACTTTACAGTTGAGTAAGCTGAGATGGAGAAGCTAAGGATCTTACCTAAAAGGAGATTTCTAAAAAAGTTATAGGATCAAAGGTTTGAGCCCAGGTTGTCAGAATCCAGAATTTGCTCACTTAACCACTATACCACACTACTTCTTTTAGGAAGGAAACACACTGCCTTTAAGGATCCTACAGTCTGGGGCATGAATGGTGATTAAATGGACAGCTGCTTGGTTGTACGATACTGATTTTGGCCAAAAGGTCAAAATGCAATAATTGCTTGAGATATATATGTGAGGAGTTGAACAGTACAGGAAATGACCCACTAAAAAAACAGTAAAATGGGAAAAATCCTGGAATGTTTGGTGAGCCTTAGAGCCCATTGGTGGTAGCAATGTGGAATGACCCTGTAGGGCCACAAGAAATGGGAAATGTGAAGGCAGCCACACACACACACACACACACACACACACACACACACACACACACACCCCAAATGGCTAGGCCCCAGAGAGCCAGAGACTTGGTGTGATCAGGCCAGTAGCAGGATGGGATAGAATGGGGAGCTAGAGACGTGTGTGTGGATGGGAAAGCAGACTTTATCCCTCAAAATGGCCTCGGGGTTCCTAGTAGTTCACTTGTGGCTGGCACACACTAATCTCAAAGTCTCCATGATAGCTCAGAAATTCAGTTCTGGGAGAGGTGTCCTGGGATGTGCCCAGTGTTCCCTCCCATCCCTCCTGTCCCTCCAGCCCATTCATCCCCAACAAATGGGCTTGATCCTTATTCCATCCCCAACCCCCCTAAAGCTGGGAGGAGACGCTGGGCTGTAAGCTTTCTCTCTCTGGCCACAAGGACCTCAGCACGTCCCTCTTCCATTCAGCCTGTGTTCATTTCTGAATCCAACTGCAGTCAGCCAAGGACAGAAGGGCCAGGTTCTGTTTCCACCAAGTATGGCTTCAGAGCCTTCTCAGCTTTGAAAGACCTGACCTTACAAGATGCCCAACATAAAGACCATCAGGAAAATCATCCCCAAAATGAAGTCTCTCTAAAACTGAAATTTAGAAACTTTGTCCTTGAGAGTAACCAGGTTCTAGGACCAGGAAAATTCCATGCACAGGAAGAGGTCAGTCCATTCACACTCTGAAAAGTATGGTTTAATGTTTGTGTGGGGATGTACACATGTAGAAGAGTCCATCTGCTCTATTACCCCCTAAGCAGGGTCAGGAGATAGAAGATCCCTTTTGGATTCACCAAAGAGGGCAGGGGCTCCAGATGGTTAATAAAATGCTACACCTAAAAGCTCTTTAAAGTACTGAGCAAAGCCCTAAAATGTAAGATGTTGTTAATACTGTTGTCAATGATGTTACTGACATGCCAAACAGCCATTTTTTTTTTTTTTAAGAAAACTTTGCCTTTTCCATCTCATTGCAAGGAGTCTGAGGCTTCAGAAAATGAAATGGGGGAGGGGAAGAAGACTTCCCAGGGTCAGCAAAAGAGGGGAAAGGCTCCAAGGGGATCCTCAGGAACCCAGGAATGACTGGACTAGGACTGAGTCAGCCTTGCGTTCCTCAAACAAGCAGCCACCCATTGTCTCTGCTTGGAGCAGGAACCCTTAGCAGCAGATGAGATACCCTTCAAAGAGTCACAGGGCCCCAGGTAGCAGGGTTGGAGGGACCCTTGGGGTCGCTGTGGGTCAGAAAACAAGGATTAGAGAAAGGAAGTGGTAGCTACCACAAATCAAAGTTGCACAGGTGATTCACGCCTAAAGGCAGCGAGGGCTCTGAGGGGTCCATACAGCCAGTTCCTCTTGCTACACCACAATGGGCATCCAGGCAGAGCAAAGCCTGAGACTGAACGCATAAGCAGAAGTGGGACCTCTCTTCCCACAGCTGTCTCCCCAGGTACTCATAGATGTCCGGGAAGCTGGCACCATGGTCAGCTTTGGAGTCACCCATAGTGTCAACTGGGAACATAAATAGCACCATAGGAACCCCTGGGACAAAGCTAATCAGAGATGGGAGCCAGTGGGACCAACTAAGGCAGAATTGGCATTTGGCAAAGCTTATTTCACTAATTCAATGGGTTCTAATAAGGAAAATGTTTTTTAAAAAGTCTCACAGTGTTACAATGCCACTTCCTCGGTATGGAATAAATAATGTGCACTTCTTGCTTCAACATTCTGCCATCTTCTGATGTCATTTAAATAAATAGATGTGTCACAGGGAGTCCACGGTGCTCTTGTGAATGCATAACTCAGCCTTGCTCTGGACTGTGTGCTTTATTTCTGCCCTGACTTTTATACCCTACAGGGCAGAGTACTACATCATGGGTTTTGGGTAAATCTGTGTGGAATCAGTTGAAAGAAACTGATTTCTTCAAACATTAAGTAAGGAAAACGCATCCAGAATTCCCAAATACATTCCCTAAAGCCTACACTTATGGCTCAGGCTCCAGGGTCTATATGAGACGTGGCTTGAATAGGGTTCAGCCACAGACGGGATGCCAAGGGTTATGGTGAAGGAAAGCCTCTCACCTTCGGAATAGAGAATACACATAAATGGAAGATGAGCCCTCCAGGGTCTGTTTCACCCTTCTTCTGTGTGTTTGTTTGTTTGTGTGTTTTATTGTTTTGTTTGTTTGTTTGTAGATAGGGTTTCTCTTTGTAGCCCTGGCTGTCCTGGAACTCACTGTGTAAACCAGGCTGACTTTGAACTCACAGAGATCCTCCTGCTTCTGCTTCCCGAGTGCTGGGAGTGTAGGTGCCACCACCGCCCGCCTCCTCTACTCCTTCTTTCATTTACTGAGCATAGATTACATGTCAGGTTCCACTGCAAGCGATGAGGATTCCGAAGATAAGGAAGAGCAAGTCCTATTCTGGAGTTTAAGTGTGAATTGACAGGGCGAGTTGTGTGCCAATCAACACCTAGAGATACTGATAACAGACATCCTCCACGACATGAAAGAAATGTGGGTGCTTTACCCAGAGAGAGCAAGGTGGGCCTCCATGAAGAACTGAAAAGCAGGATCCCCCAAAGAGAGCAAGGTGGGCCTCCGTGAAGAACTAAAAAGCAGGATCCCCCAGAGAGAGCAAGGTGGGCCTCCGTGAAGAACTGAAAAGCAGGATCCCAAGAGATGAAAAGATAAGGAGGGTGACAGTGCCACTTGCCAGTCACCTTCTTTCCTGTGGGTGTTTTCATGGGCATGGATGACCCAAGCATCTT